CGCGAAATGACAAAAGTTTACATCCAATGTAATAGATAACTGCATTAGTTTCAAAATTGAAAATATCGCAGAGCATCAATTTTACTTTCTCAAATAGACCTATAAATATAAATACATATAATTATATATATATATATATATATATATATATATATATATATATAACGTCAATGGTTATAATTCTAGATCAATAATAGATATAAACAAACAATGGAAACGAAGTCAACATTTAATTTTCCTACAATACACTGTTCATTGTTTGTGACACTGTTGTCATATAAAGAAATAATCTTTCAGTATAGGCTTAGGCCTAATTAAGAACAAACCATTTATTGTACTTCAAACAATTTCAGGAAAAAAAGTCAATCTAATTGTTTAAAAAAAAATCTGTCAGGTTTTTCCCTATCATGCGATCAGTACTTAGAAGGGGAGGTGGGCATGGTTTTCGTGCTTTCTCCATGCCAAGCCATGGTGAAATTTAATCCCACAGATATTTCGTGACCTCTAAGGTCAATTAAAATCTACCAAAAGCTGGCCCACGCGAAGTATCGAATAAAACAATCCATAGCTTTTGTTTACGGGGAGGGAAGCTGAGGGGAAGGAGGGGAGGGTGCGTACAATATTCAAACACAAATTGCTTTGTGCGCGAGTGGTGGACAAGGGGAGCAACCAGTACACGGTAAACAGCGATGTGTACAATCCGAGGCATGGTGGTGTCGGTGGCTTCACACACGTCCCAATCTCGAGGCAAACAACGGCGCGGGAGAAATATTTCCGCTACAAATAACTGGCCAAGAACCGAAAACAAACGCAAAGGCTTGAAATAACCGAGAAATCCCATCAACTTTGCCGTGATGTCTGACATATGAAAAATGAAGAAATTTCAAACATATTTTTAAAATCTAGCCTCGCCCGAATTCTCAGACGTCTTCTTTAGGATTTTTGAAAAAGTTAGGCATTCATCCCTACTGCTGCAGTCGCTTCAAACTTTGTGCTGGGATGATGTAGGGCATTCATCCCTACTGCTGCCATCGCTTCAAACTTAGTGCTGGGATGATGTAGGGCATTCATCCCTACTGCTGCCATCGCTTCAAACTTTGTGCTGGGATGGTGTTGGGCATTTAAACTTTGTGCTGCTGTCGATGCTGGATATTCAACCTTAGTACTTGGATGATGTGCGATTCAGAGTTTCTTCCAGGCATCTCGTCGGAGTCTACCGCCCCCCACCCGAACGAGATGGATTTTATATAGCAAAAATACACTTTTACTAGTGTCCGCCCCCCCCCCCCCCGAAAAATGTTGACCGCCCCCCCCCCGAAAATTTCAAAAGCCCCCTGGAAAAAAAGTCCGGAAGAAACACTGGTGCGACTGAGAACCCCAGATTCTACGACGGCTATCTTAGCTCTTCGGATCCGTAGTTTGATCTTCCTGCACAGGGGGCCAGGGGTAATACTTGATTCAATGGTCCAACTGCACAAGGCGCATTCGCCGGCGCCCCGGCGGTCCGGTGACCTGGAGCCCCCAGGCACTTCTGTGTGCACTATGGCGCCTACTGTAGTTTTAAAGATAACCTAAAATAGGGACACGGTGTCACACGACATTCGATGACTAAACAGAACCAGGGGAAGAAACAACTGGCGCCCCTGCAGTAGTGTATCCAGTGACTCCATTGAGCGCCCTGATACCCCCCTGATACCCAGACGGTCGCCGAGCTGTGTTATACTTCACTATTAAGGAGGCTGATTAACGTACACTCAAGGTTTTCATACCACTCGACCTAGAGCGTCTGGGCGATAGTGTGGACAAACTTGGCCCCGACAATTAGGATTTGAGAAGTATAGCGCCGGCATTGTTTACGTTTATATCACTCAAAAGTCATGCGTTTAAAAATACACGATTGATAACGCATTGATGAAATCCTCTTAAAATGCTGTGTCAGCCTTTCTGAGATGCAGCGACGCACGGCGGGTAATCCAGTGCATTAGATTATGAATAAAATTGCCGTCATTAATCAATCTTCTATATATATATATAATTATCTTCAAGGAGACCATAGAAAACACCAAGCTGTAAGCGCGCCTAGCAGCCCCCTCTCTTCCTCTCTCGGCATATCCCTACCACCCCCACATGGTCTGGTGAGCTGTGGTTCACGCTAAATGTTTACAATCGTAGAGCCGGGTTTAGTGACGGCTATTAGGGGCAGATAATTTAGTTTAAAACGATTTTAAACTTAGGGGAGGTAACTAAGAGGAGCCTGCACTGCATTCACGGGGGGGGGGGGGGGACGGTTGTAGGGTAGGGGTTGGGGGAAAGGAGGGGGGGGGGGGATCGTCCTTAGGCCTAACTATCTACTGATAGTGTTTTAAAGCAAATATTTTCAGTGGCAACATTGGCACTGTCAAATTCACAAATTATGAATTACTGTGAAAAGTAGAAAATAAAACAACTAAATAGCGGAGTATGATTATGATACGCCGCGAGTCGGCTAGTTCAGGGGTCGGCAACCTTTTGAAGCGGAAGAGCCAAAATTTACAATTTTCAAAATTTTCCTGGTTTTAAAGAGCCACTAACATTTTTTTATTTCAAATATTTTATTTATTTATTAAGATTATTAGTATTTGTTCAAGGAGCTGGAGAGCCGCATCTTGATATCAAAAGAGCCGCATGCGGCTCGCGAGCCGCAGGTTGCCGACCCCTGGGCTAGTTAGTTAGTAATATATCTAAAAGGCATGCGTGTATAGTACCAACAGATTTGAGAACTTGATAATAACTAATGAAATCCACAAACACTACTAATAGCTACTATAACTAATAGTTCTCTATTGTTAGTAAATTATATAATAATGCTAAAATCAATAAAATATACAAAAATAGACGAACAGTGTTATAAGCAATTTAAAATGTATCTTAGGTGCACAAAGATGCAAGAACAACTTTTTTTTTTTTTTTACATTTTTTTTAATGATTAGTTTCTATTTATGCTAAATGACTTTTGGGAACACTATTTTAGGTTAACTCCCTTCTTATCTGGAAATTTATAATTGGAAGTAACGTGAGAGCGTTCAACGTAAAACAATTTTAATGTTTCATAGTTTCCATACTAAGTATAGTACATTATTGCACTAAACCTTAAAATCATACAGCACAGCGTAGGTACCTTGCAAGCAACTCAGAAATTTGGTCCTTATTTGTCACACAAAATCTTATGCATTGCACCTTTATGTTTGCAATTTTGAATACAATCTAGATTTATATCTTAAAGATTATTTAATAACCAATTTAGCCATCTATAAATTATAAGAATTTCGACAATATCGAGGTCTTTAACTTTTGCACATAATCTTTCGATACTACGAGCTGCACACATACGGGTGGGGTATGTTGAGGAGGGGGGGGGGATACAAATTATTGCTGCATAAGCTAAATGTGGATCCATTCTAACCCCACTCTAGCTAAATACACAATCCTTGAGCAATGCGTTGAAGTCGATGTGACTCTACTGACCCCACTCTAGCTAAATACACATTCTTGGAGCAATGAGTGGAGTCGATGTGACTCCACTCCATCAATCCTGTTGCTCTATGTATCCAACATCCTGTTGCTCTGTGTACCCAACTAGGCCTAGTGAGTACAAGCCCCAGCACAAAGTACACGAAACTCCTAGGGTAGAATGTGAGAACCTGTCGTGTGTTACACACCGCACGGGGAACTACTCTAGTGTAGAAAGTGATAAGGGAGCTAATCTAGCCGTTACACCATCTGATTACGTCGCTTTGTTGGCCAGTGTATACTGACCACAAGCTGCTTGGCTAGATAGCAGTGTGCCCTAATCGCTAGACCAAACCTGGACGTATCAAGGTATGTTAATCTGCTCCATATACAGGTACAATCGCGTGAAATCGACGGGGAAAGGGTTAACATGTGAAATTAGTTCCAAACGGTCAGCATGTGAAATGAGTGTAGCAAGTCAGACATTGACATCGAGTAAAAGAAGCCCACATGTCATGTGACATCACAACGGTAACGCCCTGTTCACATCGACATGTTATTTTCAGCGCTCGATAAAAAGGAAGGCTAATGATAAGTACCGGCTAATCAGTGTAGTTTATCAGCGGATGGAAAGAAGATCAGTCATGTTGTGTGGTGCAAAGATGAATTCAGGGCGGCGTAAAACTAAATCAGGGCGGCGTAAAGCTGAAAGCGGCGTAAAGATGAATTCAGGCGGTGTAAATTGTGTTAAATGTAGAATAACCTCCAGTAGTGTGTGATGTAAAGCTGAATTCGGGCGGTGTAACATGTGGCCCAATCACACAACTGGGTTACAAAGCTGTTAAAAACATTAAATACCCATTTGATTTAATTGTGTATCGTGACAAAACTAAACACTAGGCTAACACACAGTGCTAACATAGAGCAGGGGTCCATCAATCAAAAAGTAAACAATGTTCACACAATAGTAAACAAAATGTAAACAAAAGTTCACACAATAGTAAACACCATGTAAGCAAAAGTTCACACATTAGTAAACAATATGTTAACACAACCTCGAGACACGTAGCGCAACCTTTAAGTAAGAAATCGTAACAGTAAAGCGATTGGAAAAGTATAGCATGATATAATATATATTTCAAATAAGAAGTGAACAAGTAAGAAGGACAAGTTTAATAAAAGATGTACAAAAAGTAAGAAGATGAAGAAACGTAGAAAGTTAAAGTCAAGTAACAACGACACAATAATGATGAACAAACATCAAGTCGGCCTAAAAGTAAGAAAACTTAATATATAGATCTATTATAAAGATAGTCAAACAAAGCAATGGGCGATGTAGCCCTACAAGCCACTACAAGGAAGTGAAAATTATATTGTAGCAAGATTCTAAAAGTGAGAGGTAAAAAGATGTCAAAGTAAAGTAAAAGAGGAAGTCTATTTAAATAACGTGAAGTTACAGATCAACTAAAAGCAGGGAGTTAAAAATGAAACAAAGAACACACAACACTCACCTGTGTTTTTCCATCTCAATCACCTTTGAATCACCTGGCGAACTACGCACGTGAGATTTTCTGTCAATAATCCACAGAGATCGTCCATAGCGGTGTATTCGTGTGTCGTTCACTCACGACAACAAGCATTATGTCACTGTTCTCATGGTCCTCGCTCTGGCTATTTTTAGAAACACTTCACTAATCTCAACTCACCAACACTCGACTTTACTTATGAGAAAACTCGGATGTTCGCTCGGCTAAGATGTCGGACATTTAGAATATTAAAAAAATAAAATCAGAAGCCTGGCGAAAAAAAATATTTGAAAAGAATTCTACACAAGCAGCTGGTAAAACAAAGCCGTCTGCTGGCTGAGCCCAAAATGTTTTGCTTTATGAGTTTGTTGCGGTGAAGTTGGGCGATCGATAACCCGGCCCCGCTTACCGCCCCTTACCTGGCCAGAAAAAAATGTCACCGCGGACCCGCCCACCGCCATATTATTGTGACCCCGGCGTATTGATTCGTGAGCCCAAAGTTTACCTTTGTCAAAGTTTTCCGACGGAACACCAGAGTGTACAATAGGTCAGTGACAACTCCCCCTCCCCCAGTTAACAATGTAAGTAGTCGGAGATTTGAAGGCTGAATGAAACTGCAAGTGTCACATGAATAGAATCATTACTTTCATAAGTTTGAAGCTATAGTGAAACTTCGTTTCTATAAAACGTGAGAAGCGTTTGATTAGTCGTGACATTGTTTTGTAACATACGACTGATGTTTAAGTTTATTATATGAATTACTTAAATGATACAATTTTTTTCCCAACAAGATGCTCTTGTAAAGCCTAATTGAATTTACTACAAAACTAGCGTTTATTACATTGCTACAGGTAATGATGTTTGGTGTGTTATCTTTCTTCTAATAAGCTGGTTTGTAAAAGATTAAATGTGTGTAGAGTGTAGACAGGTGCGATGATTAGTATCACCTGACTTTGTTCGTTATGTAAATTGCTGAATCAAACGCAGGAGTAACCATGACAACACAAACTGCCACTAACCCTCGCGTGAGGCGATTGTTTGACCCTAACACGGGCAGGTTTAAAGACATCCGGGTTAGGGGAGGGGTTGGTAGGGGTCGTTGAGTGAGGTTGGTAGGGGGTCGCTGAGTGGGGTTGGTAGGGGGTCGCTGAGTGGGGTTGGTAGGGGGTCGCTGAGTGGGGTTGGTAGGGGGGGGGTCGCTGAGTAGGGTTGGTAGGGGGTCGCTGAGTGGGGTTGGTAGGGGGTCGCTGAGTGGGGTTGGTAGGGGGGGGGGGGTCGCTGAGTAGGGTTGGTAGGGGGTCGCTGAGTGGGGTTGGTAGGGGATCTCTGAGTGGGGTTGGTAGGGGGTCGGTGAGTGTGGTTGGTAGGGGGTCGTTGAGTGGGTTGGTAGGGTGTCGTTGAGTGGGGGAGGTAGGGGGTCGTTGAGTGGGGTTGGTAGGGGGTCTCTGAGTGGGGTTGGTAGGGGGTCTCTGAGTGGGGTTGGTAGGGGGATGCTGTGTGGGGTTGGTAGGGGGTCTCTGAGTGGGGTTGGTAGGGGGTCGCTGAGTGGGGTTGGTAGGGGATCTCTGAGTGGGGTTGGTAGGGGGTCGGTGAGTGTGGTTGGTAGGGGGTCGTTGAGTGGGTTGGTAGGGTGTCGTTGAGTGGGGGAGGTAGGGGGTCGTTGAGTGGGGTTGGTAGGGGGTCGCTGAGTGGGGTTGGTAGGGGGTCTCTGAGTGGGGTTGGTAGGGGGATGCTGTGTGGGGTTGGTAGGGGGATGCTGTGTGGGGTTGGTAGGGGGATGCTGAGTGGGGTTGGTTGGGGGGGGGTCTCTATTTGGTGTCGTTGGAGGATCTTTGAGTGGTTGGCAGGTTCATGAGGATGGTAAGAGATCCCTTAAATAGGTTGGTAGGTCCCTAATCACAGAAGTGGGGTTGAAGGGTCCCTAGACACACCATGATTATAAGAGGTGTCAACAAACTGTCAGGTCAGCTGTTTTAGTGAGCGCTCAATGTTGTGGTGGGCCAATCCAAGAGAAGACAAACAGTGAAGCGATGAGAGATGACTTGCACGTCTAGTTGTCTCCCCTCTGGCTTAAAAGTGAACTGTTCAAAACATTTTTATTTTAATTTAGGAAGAAGATGACGGAGGGAGGGAGGGAGAGATAAGGTTGATCTGATTTAAACAGATGGCTATATTAAACCAGATTAAACAGACAAAAGTTAATTGGGAATGGTTTAGATATTGTTTCCATTTTTGTACTATAATAGAGACACAGATGCTAATCAATGAGTGACAATAATTAATGTTAATGTGTTTTAATATTTTATTTTTGGCTGCAAAAATACAATAAATGTAATAAAAGTAAATATAAAAATATACATGAACTCAAATATCACAAATAAACCAGAATAATTTAGGACAAAATATTTGATTTCATACCTCCTATCAAGAATAAAACAATACACAAAATATTCATACCTCTTAAGAATAAAACAATCGCACAAAATATTTGACTTCATACCTCCTAGCAAGAATAAAACAATCGCTTGATAGGGGAAAACCACACAATTTTCTGGCCCATAAATAAATAGTTATTTACAATGTACACTTGTAGACAACAGCATTCACCCACAGTAGATCAAGAACTTTTAGATAGTATCACAAGGTGATAATTATACAATCAATTCTTCCAAAAGTTCCAGTTATTTAATTGATGCCTCATGTGTGCTCCAGTGTTAAAACTCCAATCATCCAGCTCTAATGTGTGCATGAGTCATATCAAAGGAGGGTTGGTGCGGTATACACAATCCCATCATATACTGAGGTCAAAGAAGCATGAACTCTACTTCATCTGCCATATGACATGACTTGTATACACATATTTGTATAGAAATGTTCATCAAGTCAATAGACACCTGAGGGGGTGACTCCATGTGATCTTTTCATATTATGGTGTTGAGATGACGAGACAATGACCCATACATCAGCAAATTTCTTCCGTTCATCATCAAATTTCACACCAACACATCAATTCATGATCCTACATCTGTCAACAGTCAACTGATGCTAGTTAAGTTTAACTGGTGTCTGATGTAAAACAATCAACTCAAGCTAGCTATGATTGAGGTTAAACTGATGCTAGTTAAGACTGTAGTTAAACTGTGACGCTAGTTAAGACTGTAGTTAAACTGGTTAGCAAACTTGTCCCGCACACGTTTGTAGTCTGATGTGTCCATAGATGAGCAGACACGCTTCAACGACCGCCTGACACAGGACAAGAAATAGTTGTAAGACATGGGTAAATACAAAAGAATGGAACATGCTGGAACACCACACTATGGCTAACTAAGTCTTAAAGTTGGATCATAAATTTGTGCCCATAGGGATCTTGTATTCACCCAACTGATGGCCGCAGTTAGGAATAGTTAAGGCAGCCAGACTAACCACACTATCCCTTCCAATACTGAGCTCACCAAAACCAAAGAAAGCTAATTCATCTGAACCCTTATGTTTAAAGGGTAACATCTAAACCCTTAAGTTCATAGGGTAACTTCTGAACGCTTATTTTCAAAGGGTAACTACTGGTGTTTTTTTAAAACAATAGTAGAGAGAAAAGTTTTAATTTATAAAACCCAAGTATAATATATAAAATAACAATGTTTAAATCCAAACAGAATGAAGGTAGTAATACACAAACCAAAAGTGACAATTTTTCCCCAGGTCTAATAATGATATTGTGTAAAGTTTCAAATAACAGGGAAACTCACTTGTTAAAAACTTTATCCTCCAACCTTTTGCGAGTTGTGTTTTTTGTTTCGTTTAGATTTGTTAAGTTAGAGTTCTTGTTCTTCTTTTTACCCTTTCCTTTCGATGATTTTTCCAGAAGTTTCTGAGAGCGAGCTGACCCAAGGTCATGGCCAGTTGCATGTTCAATTTCTCTTTGTAGCTCAGGGTCCTGCCAGGGTGGGACTTCAGCTTCTGGTAGGATAAAATCAACTGGTCACTACAGCAATCAGATTATAATGCTCTAACTGGTCACTACAGCAATTAGATTATAATGCTGGTCACTACAGCAATTAGATTATAATGCTGGTCACTACAGCAATCAGATTATAATGCTCTAACTGGTCACTACAGCAATCAGATTATAATGCTGGTCACTACAGCAATTAGATTATAATGCTGGTCACTACAGCAATCAGATTATAATGCTGGTCACTACAGCAATCAGATTATAATGCTCTAACTGGTCACTACAGCAATCAGATTATAATACTCTAACTGGTCACTACAGCAATTAGATTATAATGCTGGTCACTACAGCAATCAGATTATAATGCTGGTCACTACAGCAATCAGATTATAATGCTCTAACTGGTCACTACAGCAATCAGATTATAATGCTGGTCACTACAGCAATTAGATTATAATGCTGGTCACTACAGCAATCAGATTATAATGCTGGTCACTACAGCAATCAGATTATAATGCTCTAACTGGTCACTACAGCAATCAGATTATAATACTCTAACTGGTCACTACAGCAATTAGATTATAATGCTGGTCACTACAGCAATCAGATTATAATGCTGGTCACTACAGCAATCAGATTATAATGCTGGTCACTACAGCAATCAGATTATAATGCTCTAACTGGTCACTACAGCAATTAGATTATAATGCTCTAACTGGTCACTACAGCAATCAGATTATAATGCTGGTCACTACAGCAATCAGATTATAATACTCTAACTGGTCACTACAGCAATCAGATTATAATGCTGGTCACTACAGCAATCAGATTATAATACTCTAACTGGTCACTACAGCAATCAGATTATAATGCTGGTCACTACAGCAATTAGATTATAATGCTCTAACTGGTCACTACAGCAATCAGATTATAATGCTGGTCACTACAGCAATCAGATTATAATACTCTAACTGGTCACTACAGCAATCAGATTATAATGCTGGTCACTACAGCAATCAGATTATAATACTCTAACTGGTCACTACAGCAATCAGATTATAATGCTGGTCACTACAGCAATCAGATTATAATACTCTAACTGGTCACTACAGCAATCAGATTATAATGCTGGTCACTACAGCAATTAGATTATAATGCTCTAACTGGTCACTACAGCAATCAGATTATAATGCTGGTCACTACAGCAATCAGATTATAATACTCTAACTGGTCACTACAGCAATCAGATTATAATGCTGGTCACTACAGCAATCAGATATCAGATTATAATGCTGGTCACTACAGCAATCAGATTATAATACTCTAACTGGTCACTACAGCAATCAGATTATAATGCTGGTCACTACAGCAATTAGATTATAATGCTCTAACTGGTCACTACAGCAATCAGATTATAATGCTGGTCACTACAGCAATCAGATTATAATACTCTAACTGGTCACTACAGCAATCAGATTATAATGCTGGTCACTACAGCAATCAGATTATAATACTCTAACTGGTCACTACAGCAATCAGATTATAATGCTCTAACTGGTCACTACAGCAATTAGATTATAATACTCTAACTGGTCACTACAGCAATCAGATTATAATACTCTAACTGGTCACTACAGCAATCAGATTATAATGCTGGTCACTACAGCAATCAGATTATAATACTCTAACTGGTCACTACAGCAATCAGATTATAATGCTCTAACTGGTCACTACAGCAATCAGATTATAATGCTCTAACTGGTCACTACAGCAATCAGATTATAATGCTGGTCACTACAGCAATTAGATTATAATGCTGGTCACTACAGCAATTAGATTATAATGCTGGTCACTACAGCAATCAGATTATAATGCTCTAACTGGTCACTACAGCAATCAGATTATAATGCTGGTCACTACAGCAATCAGATTATAATGCTCTAACTGGTCACTACAGCAATCAGATTATAATGCTCTAACTGGTCACTACAGCAATTAGATTATAATGCTCTAACTGGTCACTACAGCAATCAGATTATAATGCTGGTCACTACAGCAATCAGATTATAATGCTGGTCACTACAGCAATCAGATTATAATGCTGGTCACTACAGCAATCAGATTATAATGCTGGTCACTACAGCAATCAGATTATAATGCTGGTCACTACAGCAATCAGATTATAATGCTGGTCACTACAGCAATCGGATTATAATGCTGGTCACTACAGCAATCAGATTATAATGCTGGTCACTACAGCAATCAGATTATAATACTCTAACTGGTCACTATAACAATCAGATTATAATGCTCTAAGGTCACTACAGCAATCAGATTATAATGCTCTAACTGGTCACTACAGCAATCAGATTATAATGCTGGTCACTACAGCAATCAGATTATAATACTCTAACTGGTCACTATAACAATCAGATTATAATGCTCTAACTGGTCACTACAGCAATCAGATTATAATGCTGGTCACTACAGCAATCAGATTATAATGCTGGTCACTACAGCAATTAGATTATAATGCTGGTCACTACAGCAATCAGATTATAATGCTGGTCACTACAGCAATCAGATTATAATGCTGGTCACTACAGCAATCAGATTATAATGCTGGTCACTACAGCAATCAGATTATAATGCTGGTCACTACAGCAATTAGATTATAATGCTCTAATGGTCACTACAGCAATCAGATTATAATACTCTAACTGGTCACTACAGCAATCAGATTATAATGCTGGTCACTACAGCAATCAGATTATAATGCTGGTCACTACAGCAATCAGATTATAATGCTGGTCACTACAGCAATCAGATTATAATGCTGGTCACTACAGCAATCAGATTATAATGCTGGTCACTACAGCAATCAGATTATAATGCTGGTCACTACAGCAATCAGATTATAATGCTGGTCACTACAGCACTCAGATTATAATACTCTAACTGGTCACTATAACAATCAGATTATAATGCTCTAAGGTCACTACAGCAATCAGATTATAATGCTCTAACTGGTCACTACAGCAATTAGATTATAATGCTCTAACTGGTCACTACAGCAATTAGATTATAATGCTCTAAGGTCACTACAGCAATCAGATTATAATGCTCTAACTGGTCACTACAGCAATCAGATTATAATGCTGGTCACTACAGCAATTAGATTATAATGCTCTAAGGTCACTACAGCAATTAGATTATAATGCTCTAACTGGTCACTACAGCAATCAGATTATAACGCTGGTCACTACAGCAATCAGATTATAATACTCTAACTGGTCACTACAGCAATCAGATTATAATGCTGGTCACTACAGCAATTAGATTATAATGCTGGTCACTACAGCAATCAGATTATAATGCTGGTCACTACAGCAATCAGATTATAATGCTGGTCACTACAGCAATCAGATTATAATGCTGGTCACTACAGCAATCAGATTATAATGCTGGTCACTACAGCAATTAGATTATAACGCTGGTCACTACAGCAATCAGATTATAATGCTGGTCACTACAGCAATTAGATTATAACGCTGGTCACTACAGCAATCAGATTATAACAACTAAGATTTCAACTGCTAAAACATTTAATGAAATAAAAAAAACAATAGCAGTAAGATTTAGCTCAAATTTTTCATAGCAGAAAAGAATTTATATAATTTGCTATTTTTAAAATTCTTCTCTAATGTTCAGCTAATGTTTGAGATAACATTGTAACACTTATCAGATTTATTGAGAGCTAAACTAATAGAGTAACAAAATGTTTTGATAAGGACCGCGGTGATGAGTGTTACTGAAACAATAATTCTGAGCCACATCAAAAGTTTAAAACTTTCAAAATAACAACCAATCAATCACTGAAACAGCTACACTTTAATTAATCTCAAATATTAATGACTAGAGTTAAGCTAAAAAATAAAAAAATAAAAATAAATAAAATAGTGTTTGTTGTTAACTCTCAAACTTGCCAACAATCTTGACAACATGAGTTGTGTGATGATTTCTATACAAAATTTTAATCACCTTGTGCTGAAGTTTCTTCTGTTTTTAAACTGTCACCAACTGTGTCAACTAAATCCATTTCATTTGATGGTTTGCCTTGTTCATCTCTGGCAATAATTTTTCCATGGAAGGGACACTAGAATAGAAAGTTTACTAGCCTCTATTTAAACCATTCAATTAATTAAGTGTTGGTGATTATGGGCTGGTCATTTAGGTCAAGTAGATGAAATACAACATATTACAAGAATATGAGATCCCCAACTTACTTTAACCCTGTCCATCCTCTCACACAATTAGACCAAAGACTTACTTTAACCCTGTCCATCCTCTCACACAATTAGACCAAAGACTTACTTTAACCCTGTCCATCCTCTCACACAATTAGACCAAAGACTTACTTTAACCCTGTCCATCCTCTCACAGAGTCGGCCATTAGACATGGGTGCCCTACATTTCCACTTGACTGGCTCAAACTTGCCAGGGAAGGCAAACACACGGTTCCTGACAGCTGCCAGGTCATGCTGGAACCAAATTTTTGGTTGGCTGACATTTGTTTCTTAACAAAACAGATTCAAGTTTTTGGTTAGCTTACATTTGTTTCTTAACAAAACAGATTCAAATTTTTGGTTGGCTTACATTTCTTTCTTAACAAAACAGATTCAAGTTCTTGGTTATCTTACATTTGTTTCTTAACAAAACAGACTCAAGTTTTTGGTTGACTTATATTTGTTTCTTAACAAAACAGATTCAAGTTTTTAGTTGGCTTTTGTTTTATTGATAAAATACAAGTATTAGACTAATCCTAGGAAAAAATTTAGACTAAAATTCAGACGCAATTTATTGCCTCCCTGCTTGATGTATTCACCTACCTGGGAAGGTTTCTCTGTTTCTGGTTCATGAGGTCTCCAAAACCTGTGGAGGGAATCATACCTGAGAAGAAAAAGAAAGGTAATTTTTTAGAAATATGGTAGTTATTCCTTAACGAGAAAAATGGCCCGTTGAGGAAGGATACAACGGGAGCTAGGTTGATAGTGCTGTCTATTTTCTCGGTACTTTAATTTATTCAAAATATAGTCATAGGCATATCAATAAACCATGCACCTAATCTCATTCATGACAAAAGTCGCATTTAGAGTTTATTTCAGGCAACTCTTCTTGGGAGGAGGGGGCTTCGCCCCCCCTCCCCCCCCCCCACACACACTCCAAAACATGTCTACCGTCCCATTCAACGAAATATAATTATATACTTTTTCCAGTGTCCGCCCCCTCCCAGAAAATTCTACCACCGCCCCCGAAAATTTCAAGTACCCCCACCCCTCTCCGGGGAGGAAAAAGTCTGAAAGAAACACTGGTGTCGCGCTTAGCCACTACCCGAAGAATTGCATTAAAGAAATTGCAAGAAAACCACTTTTTAGATTAGACACATTAATTAGACGGTAATTTTATTATAGAGTATCGATGAAGAAATTTCTTTTGAGTTGGGGAGGGGGGGGGCTCAGACGTTCTTACGCAGGGGTGGGGCTTCGCCCCTACCCGAAGAATTGTGTGAATGAAACTCTTCACGCAATCCACTTAGATTAGACAAATTGCCTTTTTATTCAATGTTTACTCGAGAATCAATGACGTCATATTACTGTGTGCACTCTCCGGCTAGAGATTATTTTCTACTCTATGACGTCATATTTCGCCAGCCGCTTTACTGTGAAAGTTTTTAATTTGCTTGTGTTTTCTCTAGAGCGTTCTTGTCAGACAGACAGATAGATACATAGATAGATAGATAGATACATAGACAGACAGCGAAACTATTAGTATTAATATATCCCTCTTTTGTCAATCATTACACATCTATATATATATATATATATATATATATATATATATATATATATATATATACACACATATATATATATATATATATATATATATATATATATATATATATATATATATATAATTCTCTTCATGGGCAAGACGATGCAAGCCGACTGTCTAACCCTCCTCCCGCTATCCAGACATGCGCAACAGACCATTTCGCTACCACCCCCACCAGTCTGGTGAGCTTAGTGTCACCCTGAATGTTAACAATCGTAAAGCCGGGTCGAATTAGTGATGGCTTTTAGGGGCAGATAATTTAGCTTTTAAACAATTTGAAACTTACTTTAACTCTGACCATCACACGATTGTTTTTTAAAATAATGTCTTATGCTTTTTCACCTTTGTTTACAGGAGGAATTAAAAATGGGTGAGTGCTAAATTTAGACAATTACTTAATGATAGAGGGTGCCTCCATCTCTTCAGGGTTTTCCCAATAAGCCAAGTCAGCACCAAACTCCACCACTGGAACTTCAGCAGTTGTCTTTTCTTGTTCCAACTTGCTAGATGGAGCTGTCTCAGAACTAAAACAATAAAATACAGCAACAAATAGTGTTAAAATCCTCACATTTTTGTGATGTACATGATCTGTAACAAGTGACAAAATGCCTGTACAATTACCAGTTAAAACTGACACACTACCTGTAAAACTAGACTCACCTGTTAGACCTGACTCATACAATGAGACTCACCTGTTAGACCTGACTCATACAATGAGACTCACCTGTTAGACCTGACTCATACAATGAGACTCACCTGTTAGACCTGACTCATACAATGAGACTCACCTGTTAGACCTGACTCATACAATGAGACTCACCTGTTAGACCTGACTCATACAATGAGACTCACCTGTTAGACCTGACTCATACAATGAGACTCACCTGTTAGACCTGACTCATACAATGAGACTCACCTGACTCATACAATGAGACTCACCTGTTAGACCTGACTCATACAATGAGACTCACCTGTTAGACCTGACTCATACAATGAGACTCACCTGTTAGACCTGACTCATACAATGAGACTCACCTGTTAGACCTGACTCATACAATGAGACTCACCTGTTAGACCTGACTCATACAATGAGACTCACCTGTTAGACCTGACTCATACAATGAGACTCACCTGTTAGACCTGACTCATACAATGAGACTCACCTGTTAGACCTGACTCTAGCCACAGCAGCTGCCAGTGATGTAGGATCCGATGCATGCTCTGAGCTTAGTTTTTCCTTCAAGTTCCAGCCCACATTTCTCCTGGCCACTTTGGGTGGGGATGTGGTGGTAGACGACCCAGCTGGTGGTGTTGTGGTGGTAGACGACCCAGCTGGTGGTGTTGTGGTGGTAGACGACCCAGCTGGTGGTGTTGTGGTGGTAGACGACCCAGTTGGTGGTGTTGTGGTGGTAGACGACCCAGTTGGTGGTGTTGTGGTGGTAGACGACCCAGTTGGTGGGGATGTGGTGTTTGTTAACTTAGCACCTGAAGATTGTGTCTGTGAAGGACCTGCTAAACCTAAAGATAAAAAAAAAACATTTGAAAATGATCATTTGAACCATTTGAAAATGATCATTTAAAACAGTAAATGCTTCTAATTAAAAACAGAAAAACTGATAAATATAATTTATCATATAAAGCTATCCTTGTTTAACTCTTTAAGCCCATAATTAGTTTCACGTTTTACCGGAATTTTTTTTTTTCAGTAACCCTGCGGATAAACGACCCATAACCTTTTTACCCGCTGATTTAAACCCCACACATTATTAATAAAAAATAATCATAATTAAATGCCCTACACACTGATATACATTTTAAGTAATTATTTATTTATTGAAGAAAGATAATTACTTAGTTTTAAAGAAAAAAAATATAAAGAGATGATGTTTTCGGACAAAAAATACGCTTCTGTCAGGAAAATTAATGCTAAGAATTACTTATCATGAGTTTTTATTCATAGAAAACAAAAGTAGGTCCATTTTTCTACAAAAATCATGGATCGGATTAGTCTTAGCTTAAATACTTTAATTTTAGTTAATTTTTTATAATGCGGTGACATAAACAGACGCAGCCGCTGAATGGCTTTCCGCAGTGTTAAAAAAATGCTGTTTTGCGAGTTGTTTTATGGAAAAAAATCTATAAAATACAACATCAATTCTAACAAGAGAACTATAAGAAGTAAATACTAAGGAACATGTCAGTTCTAGCGTTATCATGACCTAGATTTGCGATCAAATACTCGGATTCTGAAAAACAACAAATTAAATAGAGAAAATTTTATTGGGCGCTGGGTGCGTCGTTACAGTCTTAGAGAGTTTCTTTTTTTTGAGTACTAAACTCATAGAAACTGTACGTGTTTGTAAGAGTTGCTTTCATCTACCAGTTGAATCTCGTACACATCAGCTAATGAGCACAGTCAGCATGTTGTAACTGGACATCACACTCACCGTATTCTGCTCTTAGATGACTTGGTATGTGGGGTTCAAAGCCTTCCTTCACTGGAACTTCTTCAAAATCTTCTTCGTCTGACAGATAACAGAACAAATATTTTAATTACTGCTGGTCATAAAGTCTTAATTAAACAGACTTTAAGATAAAAGATCACCTTCCAAATTTTAATCAGCCACAAATATTAATGCTGAATAACAAGCAAAACTTCATTAGAAAAAAAATTTAAATAGATTAACATTCTCAAAACAAATTTTTCTTCTTTGTAAAACTTAAATTTTAATGAAAGGTTTGGTGAAAAATATTTCTAACATTGTTTTTTTTAACACAAAACTTCAAGACAATGATCCCTATTAGTATTTGTAAAATTATAACAGAAAAGGCTACTCTATATTTTGTAGCACATCAAAAGTAGACTGCTAATTTCTTAAATGTAGCACTCCCTTAAGTTTTAAGCAACTCGCCACTACATAAAATCTAGCATTCCTTTAAATTTTAAGCAACAGTGCCACTACATAAAATGAAGCCCAACAGAAAGTTCTACTACCTGAATCCTCTTCCTTAGTTCTGTCTCCTCTCAGTGCCACAAGCTTCAGGTCCACACATTTTAAGTGAATATTTTCTAGACGAACTTTCAGATCAATAGCTGAGGTAATATCTGACTGACTTGCTCCATTCTTCGTCAGAATCTAAATCAACCAAACAATACAACTTGAATAGTAAATAAAATTAACATAATACAGCATAGTAGACAAAACATCTTTACAATTTTAAAAATATTGAAATGCACAACTACATGTTTTTACCAACATTCACAATTATCTGTAGACAAAGTTCTGAAACAAGGGAAACAACCAAGTTATCATCACTGACCTCCAGCCATCTGGTGACCTTAGGCAGGTAGTTGCTGCTGACCAGCTTGCTGGCGTCTCTCAGACAGCTCATCACGTCAGTGTTGTCTGCTGTCTCCTGGATGGCCAGGCTCCCAGGGGCAGGCAACTCTAGGGTTATGCTATAGCCTGGGTTAGTCACCCCATGCAGCTGTAGGTCATCATCCTCACTGTCCTCACCATCATCATCTCTGTCATCAGTTGAAGGCTTAGAACATCCAGCAGGATTTGTGTTTACATTGTCAGCTTTCTTCTCAATGTTTTCATTGGCTGAAACAATCAGGCAATCTTAGCAGGGTAAGTAATGGAGGTTATGCAGTTTGTCCAGGGGACACTGGTCAAACAATGTTTAACCAGGTGACTAATGGAGGTTAGCAGTTAGTCTAGTGCACAGTTGTCAAGCTTCCTTGACTCAGTAGATATGGGTGTAATGCTACCAGTCTACTTCACATTGGCCAAACATTGTTTAACTGGCTCACTATGTATGGTCATCTGATGTGATCGCTGATGAAGCCAAGTTGAATGACAGTTGAGATGAAGAGACAAGTTGTACCTGAAGTTGTGGGGGTACACCTGGCCACAGCATCCTCAGGTAGGTCCAGGAAGAACTCAGATGGTGTGGGCAACAGAATCTTCAGGCAGCTCTCAGCTTCACTACAGCAGCTTTCTACCTCACCCCTGCTTTCTGACATAGATGGATACAACAAACATTAGACTCTCCACTGCTTATTACATAAAGGGACATCATTCAGACTTTTGATAACTAAGATAATTAAAATTACTGATGATTTAAAAAAATTATTTTACTCTTTTTATTAATAAAACTTATACAATTTAAGAAAAATTCTTATTTTTTTATCTCATAAAATAGAAAGGGATATTATAAGCAAGTAAAAGTAACTATGGATAATACAAAGTATAAAATTGAAATAGTAAGTAATTTCTTATAAAATAAATTATGTTGAAATTGCAACCCAACCTCCCAAAACTAACCCATCACACAAATGTAAAACTAACCTATCACGCAAATGTAAAACAAGCAAACCTTTAATTTCCTTCAAGACTTTGGCCAGGTTCTCAGTTCTCATTTTCTCTTTTTTCTGTTCTTCCAGCTCTGCTCTTCTCCTCTCTGCTTCATTCTGTGCTCTTATGTCAACAAAGTCTATCTGACAAATGTAGAGTTTCATATCAACAAAGTCTATCTGACAAATGTAAAGTTTATATCAACAAAGTCTATCTGAGACATGTAAAGTTTATATCAACAAAGTCTATCTGAGAAATGTAAAGTTTATATCAACAAAGTCTATCTGACAAATGTAGAGATTTTTATATCAACAAAGTCTGTCTGACAAATGAAGAGTTTCAATAATTAAATGTATCTATTCGGAATTTCTGTCATAAATCTGTTACCTACCTAAAATACTAGAACACAAACAGGACAAGTACAAAAGCAAAGCATGTATGTTTTTACAGTAAAATATGTGTTTACAACAAAAGCCCAGCACATACATGTTTACAGTAAAATCCCAGCATGTACGTGTAAAGTAAAATCCTAGCACATACATGTTTACGGTAAAATCACAGCATGTACGTGTAAAGTAAAAGCCCAGCACATACATGTTTACAGTAAAATCTTTGCACATACATGTTTACAGTTTTTCAGGTAATCGTAGCCATGCGCCAGCTTTCTATAGCCCTGTCCGTACTTCTCATACCAACGTTGTATTGCTCGCAGTGAGTCAGACTTTAACTTGTTGGCTGCAGGTTTTGGTGGAGGCAATGGCCTGTTGGCTTCTGTTTCTGTTGGAGCATTGAAACATTTACATGATAAACTCAAAATTTTAAAATGACAAAACTTCTTTAAAAATTTGAATTTTAAGAATTCTAGAAGAGCATTCAGCTTTTGATCTTTCTTCTTCTCTCCCACACAACGTGTTAACTTGTTATGCACCATATAGGCCGTTAACTCCGATTTCAGCCTGTTTTTCTTTTTGGATTTGCTTCCTAAGCCTTTGTCTATCCAAGAACAAATTACAAGGCAGCAGTATTTTTTTTATTTTGGAGTTGTCTCTCCTACAAGAGTGGCTGTCTCCAGCTATTGAGGCTCATATACCCGGGGGGTTCGAACCAGAGAACTTTCAGTTTAGCAACCAGTACCTTTACAGACTTGACCAAGCAAAATACTCATACTGATCTAATTTAGGATAAGTTAGCAGTTAAAAAAACAATGAACCTGTAGTTAGTGAGAGAAATGTTTGCAGGTGTATGACCAATATTTCCCTAAAAGCATGGGATCTACAGAACAGCTCATCAGCAACTTGAAAAGCTGACAGTCTGACTTCTGCGTGGTTCTTCTTCAGCTGTCTCATGATCAGCAGGAAGGCGTAGCGCACATAGTCGTCTGACTCCCTGTGGGCACAACTCTGACTTCAATCTTAATCAAAATAACATGTTGCAAACAACTACTATGGTTTATATCAAAAAAATTTTCACTATGAAAGTTAATTAAATAACTATGTTTTATATCAAGAATATTTTATTTATGAAATTTAATTAACTATGTATTTTCATCTCTAATATCATGAACAATTTTCCTAAAAATTTAGTAAGTATGCAAATAACTAACCTGTATTAGTAATATTTATTAGCATGTTAGACGTTCATGTTAGAAAATATCAATTTACTATATAACTGAAGTTACAAATAATACATACGAATTTATTTTAGAGTTGCAGTATTGTAGTTTGTGATAAAAAATAATTAGTATCCTTTTTTTGTGGGTATGGAAATAATTAATTGATCTGTGTTGAAAATATACAATATCAAAATTATCATTAGGCAATCAGATATTATGAACCATAATAAAAAACATTGCTAAAACTACTAATATTTCTGATGCAATTAACCATAACTGTCTCAATGAAAAGATGCAGATAATGGTAGTGTAGTTTCAACTTTGGTAGTTGAATAATGAATTACCTGCAGAAGCGCTTAAACTGCTTAAGGTCAGCTGGGTCAAGTGAGGGGTTGCCAGTCATTGTGAGAGTCTGCAGACATTTGTCCATCTGTTTTAGCACTTCTCCATTCAAACTTAGAGCAGCTTTTTTCAGCTCTGGAATTAACATTCAATACAAACTGTTAACTTTAAAATAAAATAATTTTGATCTCTCTCTTTTAGTATTTAGAATAGTAGTTGAAGAAAATATGAGTCAACAAGTAGATATTTATATTTTAAAATTAAAGCCTGATGATTGAGATGTGTATGAATGGTGAACTTATTACAGTTCTAAGCAGTTTGCTGTTCACAATACATCAAATTAAAGCTGGTAAAACACTAAAACTATTGAGCTGAAGAGGGAGACACTGAGTGAATTTGATTTATATTTAATTCATTTTTTTTTACTGTTACCTGGTGGCAGTTAAAACAGCATCCAAAGAATTATATATTTAAAAATCTGAGTAAGTTTTGAAAGGAGGCTACTCAGTAGTAAGTAGGCCAAACATATATGGATATCTAAGTAATTAGTAAAGTCGTTTTGTTTACTTACCAGTTTCAATATTAAAACCATCCATGGTATTCCTCAGTATAATACATAGATGTCTTGTTTATTCTAGGAGATCAAGGTGTCTAGTACACTATTTGATGGAGAGAAAGTAGTTTTGTTGTCATACTTATTTTATAATAATCAAATAGACCTACACAGTCTGTCAAACAGTCATGACGACTGCCTATGATGATTGAATGAGCATGTTTTAATTTATTACTGTTTTGAGGATATAAATTAATATAAACGAGCCGGCCCGCGGCATAACATACGCCGCTATTTAGTTGTTTCTAATTTTCAATAATTCATAATTTGTGAATTCGACAGTACCAACGCTGACACTGAAAATATTTCTTTAAAACACTATAAGTAGCTCGTTAAGGACCATAACCCCCCCCCCCCCCTTCTTCCTTCCCTCCCCCCTCCTCCCCCCCCCCCCCTACGTTTAAAATCGTTGGCTCTGCTTGTAAACATTTAGAGTGAACACAGCTCACTAAAACCATGTAGGGGTGGGGAGGTAGGGAGAGCGTTTGCAGCTTGTTTTCTAACGGCTCGAAGAAGAGAATTATATATATAGATATTCAACAAGGCAAAAGTCCACCTATTAGTTTAGGCCCATAAAATAATATCCACCCAAAATACTATTACTATTAGATTAGGCCTACTCAGTTAGGGATTATAATTTATATTTTGGGTCAATCTTTCAAGTGACCCTTTGAATCTATTAAGTTACTATTAGCCTGTGGGCTTTTTGGATTGAATTTTTACAGAGATGTAGATCTAGATACAACCTCATAAGAAAAAATCTAGGCCTAAAGTAATTTGTAAAGAGTAGAGGACATTTTGTTATGGGGATGGGGGTGGAATATGTTTGTGTGTGTGTAGTAGTGGGTTTGCAGTGATAGCAGCAAAAAACGTAGGACGTCGATACTAGATCTAGAGGCAATACTAGTTAGAGTGGTCAGTTCAGTTTGAGTTAGTTAGTACTTAGATTCTAAATCTAGATCTAGTTGAAGTTAGTAGTCACAGTACTGTCACACTGTGTACTACTTAAACTAGAGTGTCGAGTAGTTGGGCACTCCCCACTGGGTTAAAATTAAAAACTAATAAAAACAAACAAAAAGGTCTACCGTTTTTGTTGTGTTGTTGTTGTAGACCTATTAGATCTATACTTATACAGTAGGCCCAATATAGATCTAGAATATACGGGAAGAATAGATAATAATAGATAGAATATTTTATTTTTAGGTGTCTAAAAAAAAGTAAACATTTTCCTAGTGATTCTAGTGTAGAGCTTGACCTATTTGATCTGGAAGTTGAAATGAAATTATTTCGCATTTTACAATCGGTTGTTAAAAATGGATAAATTATAATTAAATCATTACATATAGACTACACCTCACTCTTTTGATATCAATGTTCCATGTTTAAGACTAATGTCATGTGTAACATTCTCGTGACTACACAATTGACCGATAGAGCAAAATAATTGTATTCTTAGATTACAGGTGTCTATTACAGTTATCTTTGTAGGCTACAGGTGTCTATAACCGGTGTCTGGGAAAGATGTCTTACATAAGTATAAAATGTCTATTACAGTTTACATTTTTAGTAAAAGTGCTAAAAAAAAGTCTGCATGTGACACCTTCACTCATAATGTATTCATCTGACACTTGCCAATGTCTACACGAGACACCTCCCAATGTCTACATGAGACAGTGGCGTAGCGAGGTCGGGTGTCACCCAGTGCGGCACTTAATGGTGTCACCCCGCAAAGGCGTAGCGACCTTTCCCGGGGACAAACTTTCAATTTTCGATTTGCACCCCCCCCCCTCAAACTCTCGATTTGCACCTCTTAAAAGACTATTTAACACTCGAATTAAAAACTTAATTAAGTGGAATTATTTATCTCTAAATATTTTGCTATTTTTTGCCTTGGTGTCCACCCCCTAAATGGTGTCACTCGGTGCGGTCCGCACCCCCACCCCCCCCCCCCTCGCTACGCCACTGACATGAGACACCTCCCAATGTTTACATGAGACACCTGCCAATGTCTGCATGAGACACCTGACAATGTCTGTATGAGATACCTGCCGATGTCTACATGAGACACCTGCTAATGTCTACATGAGACACCTGCCAATGTATTAATGAGAAACCTGGCAATGTCTACATGAGACACCTGCTAATGTCTGCACGAGACACCTGCCAATGTCTACATGAGACACCTGTCAATGTCTACATGAGACACCTGCCAATGTCTACATGAGACACCTGCCAATGTCTACATGAAACACCTGCCAATGTCTGCATGAGACACCTGCTAATGTCTGCACGAGACACCTGCCAATGTCTACATGAGACACCTCCCAATGTCTACATGAGACACCTGCCAATGTCTACATGAGACACCTGCCAATGTCTACATGAGACACCTGCCAATGCCTACACTGCACACCCAGGTATCAGATTCTCACAGTTAATGTCTTCATGGAGCGCCCCCTGTAGCGATGTTCGTCTCATGTTTGTTGAGTCTTGACAAGAATAACAAACGGCATCAGAAACAGAGGGTTCCAGGTCTAAAGGCCGACTAACAAAAGACTGACAGGATATACGGCTGACTGACTATAGTTGTTCGTATGGTTTTAAATGTAGCCTTTTTGTTAAACCAATTTTTTACACCAGTATTTCAAAACACGGTCGTCATATTGCTGAGACAACCAATGGTTGGCTTTTGTCTACTTCATTCACAAGATTTGCAAATGGACTCAACTCTATCTTTCAATAGAGCGTTTTACATTCGAGTATGTTTTCCAATATTATTACCTTTTAAACCTACATCATTTTTTGTAAATATATTTTTCCACTGAAAATTAATAATTTTTTAAAGCTCCCATGTATTACATATGTGATGGTATTTAATTACTTGAGCTGCCTGTTTCTCAGAGGAGCAACCAAAGAAATACCTTACCACAGAACAAGCCAAGAGGAGCAACCACAGAAATACCCTACCACAGAACAAGCCAAGAGGAGCAACCACAGAAATACCCTACCACAGAACAAGCCAAGAGGAGCAACCACAGAAATACCTTTTCACAGAACAAGCCAAGAGGAACAACCACAGAAATACCCTACCACAGAACAAGCCAAGAGGAGTTACGGAACTCGAAAACAAAATTGTTCATATGGCTTTTCTTTCTCTATATCCCGCAGTGGCGTAGCCAGGATCGTCTCAAGGGGGGGGGGGGGGGTTCCAACTTTCAACCGGGGACAAACTTTCGATTTGCACCCCCCCTTCAAACATTCGATTTGCACCCCCCCCCTCAAACTTTCGATTTGCACCCCCTCATACTTTTTATATATATACCGAGGGGTCTATGGGGGGGGGGGGGTTATGACCCCCCCTAACCCCCTCTGCCTACGCCACTGATATCCCGAGTTGTGTGTCTTAATATAATAAACATGAAATTTAATTTTAATGGGCATTGTTAGTTCCTTATGTTGGCTTCAACATTTTATTTATTGGAAAACAGCGAAGAAATAATTCAGAATAATTTTAAAAATATACGTTATATGGCATACTAGTGTGAGTTAGGGAGGGGCGGTCTGCAGTTTGTGTACACAGAGTTGCGCAGTCGACAAAGTACGAGTGTGATATTAATACATACAGACATATTTACATAACCGTATGTACAATTTAATCCCGACATTCTCAACCAGAGAAATAAACTGAAATGTAATTTAATATGCCCGAACAGCAGACGCCACATTTGCATATGCTAATCATGTTGAGAATGTTCTTCGGGTTTTTTCTCAAGTCGTATAACACTTAGATGCCAGACTTGTAGTCTGCCACCTCAGCAGTTGTAAAGGTTTTTGTGTCCTGACGTCATGTAATAATAAAATAAAAAGATATCCATGACAGGCATATCAGATAAACTTTTTAAAAGTATCGAATACAACAGTGTTTAAAGTATCGAAGAGTGTTTAAAATATCGAACAATAGGTGTTTAAAGTATCGAATACAACAATGTTTAAAGTATCGAATACAACAGTGTTTAAAGTATTGCATAAAAGCCCCAGCATGGAGTAATTTGTTGATTACATCCATTAACATTAGTAGCTGTTCCTTTGGTGCATATTTTCTTGTCATGTAGTGGTCACGTAATGTTTATTGTTGTCATAGCAAACAGTTTGGTTTGAGAACTAAGTAACACGTCAGCAATCAGACCGCCGAAGATATTAGACATGTAGTCACTATACACGTGGCCTGTATATATTTATATATTATATTATATATATTATATAATATATATATATATATATATATATATATATATATATATATATATATATATATATATATATATATATATATATATATATATATGTGTGTGTGTGTGTGTGTGTGTTAGCGTGTGCTTGTGTTTAAAAAAAATTTATTGCCGCCGATGAACTTCTCTAGTTCAAACATGCTGACAAGATTAAAAAGAAGGTAGATAATCTGGTCAGGTTGCTGGACACTATGAAGCCACGCCAACAACGACCGCTGCTGGAAACTCATGACTACTGTAAGATACATGTTGCTGACTCATGACTACTGTAAGATACATGTTGCTGACTCATGACTACTGTAAGATACATGTTGCTGACTCATGACTACTGTAAGATACATGTTGCTGACTCATGACTACTGTAAGATACATTTTGCTGACTCATGACTACTGTAAGATACATGTTGCTGACTCATGACTACTGTAAGATACATGTTGCTGACTCATGACTACTGTAAGATACATGTTGCTGACTCATGACTACTGTAAGATACATGTTGCTGACATATGTCTAGGATTTTATATTAACACTGATAAAACAATAATCACATTGGGATTAAAAGAATATACAAAACTAGCTTGATCTAGTTCTTTATAAATGGGAGGCAACTAATGAAACATATATTGTGTTGGGTAGTTATGATAAGGACAGTGGTATCCCTTGAATAGTTTATTTAATTAAACCAATCCATACCTTACATTACAGCTAAAAAATAAAACTAATGTAAGAACCTTTATAGCAATAAGATTTTAAATAGGCTGGAAATAAGAACAATTTTCTTCCTTATACAAACGAAATGGTCGCTAAAATATGCTAAATATTTCACGAGCGCCCAAATTAACGGTTACTGAAGAAAGCAAATTAATTAGTTTCAGTGCATTAAAAAGCTTACTTTATAATATAAATAAATAAATAAATAAATAAATAAATATATATATATATATATATATATATATATATATATATATATATATATATATATATATATATATATATATATATATCACACCTTTTAATAATTCTTTTAAAATGAAGTTGACACGCTACGACAAAAAATATTTGCGTTGAAGCTCTAGCATCTTTAAAAGTCAGTTATCTTCTCTTTCTTAGCTCGACACTCAGACAACCACTCACTAAACAGTGAAAAACAGTTGACCCCTGTAAACAGTCTAATCAAGTAATCGCTTGAGATTTGTTACTAAATTTAGAAATGTTTAAATTTAATTTTAATCATTATTTCCTATCTAATTAGAATAAAAATGAGACATTTTTGCATTGTCATCGAAGAAGGTTTCTGGAAAGCTCGAACGTGTTTGCATTTGCTCAGCTCTCACGACTGAAATAAAGTAAGGGTGACTGGGCATTGTTCCCACTATCGCCTCATTTGGAGAGATAAAACAAACAACTCTATTTCATCTACTACATGGCTAGAAAGTGTACTTTACATCACAAAATAATCTTGACCCACCAGGCTTTACTTTCCCTAACAAGGTGGACTAATCCACATACAATATCAATTGTCACAAAACACAATCCACATACAATATCAACTATCCCTTAACACAATCCACATACAGTATCAACTATCCGCCAACACAATCCACATACAATATCAACTATCCGCCAACACAATCCACATACAATATCAACTATCCGCCAACACAATCCACATACAATATCAACTATCCGCCAACACAATCCACATACAATATCAACTATCCCTTAACACAATCCACATACAATATCAACTATCCGCCAACACAATCCACATACAATATCAACTATCCGCCAACACAATCCACATACAATATCAACTATCCGCCAACACAATCCACATACAATATCAACTATCCGCCAACACAATCCACATACAATATCAACTATCCCTTAACACAATCCACATACAGTATCAACTATCCGCCAACACAATCCACATACAATATCAACTATCCGCCAACACAATCCACATACAATATCAACTGACCCCCAACACAATCCACATACAATATCAACTATCCGCCAACACAATCCACATACAATATCAACTATCCGCCAACACAATCCACATACAATATCAACTGACCCCCAACACAATCCACATACAATATCAACTATCCGCCAACACAATCCACATACAATATCAACTATCCGCCAACACAATCCACATACAATATCAACTGACGCCCAACACAATCCACATACAATATCAACTATCCGCCAACACAATCCACATACAATATCAACTATCCGCCAACACAATCCACATACAATATCAACTGACCCCCAACACAATCCACATACAATATCAACTATCCGCCAACACAATCCACATACAATATCAACTATCCGCCAACACAATCCACATACAATATCAACTATCCCTTAACACAATCCACATACAATATCAACTATCCGCCAACACAATCCACATACAATATCAACTATCCGCCAACACAATCCACATACAATATCAACTATCCGCCAACACAATCCACATACAATATCAACTATCCGCCAACACAATCCACATACAATATCAACTATCCGCTAACACAATCCACATACAATATCAACTATCCGCCAACACAATCCACATACAATATCAACTATCCGCCAACACAATCCACATACAATATCAACTATCCACAACACAATCCAGACGAAGTATCAACAATCCCCCAACACAATCCACTAGCTCAGCCTTAACATAAGATGAAACCTCCTACTCTGCTCGAAGTATCTGTATAAATGTGCGTCAATTAGAAAAGCACTTGTCATAAGGCAGCCTTTCATCCCCCCCCTCCTCCACCGTATACTCTCGATAAGGTGGAGCTCTGAACGAATTCCGTTTTATTTCAATGGTTTTCAATGAATGTTGCATGCATGAACGGTCCGCTACCTTTTTAGTTCCGTCTGGTACACAAGTTATGCGTGCGTCCTTCAGATCCTAAACTTGTCCACGTCAATTCTACCAACTCAAGGCAAACTGCATGTTAATAATCAATTACACATCGTAAGGTAAGTTACACTGTTTAATTCTGTTTGACTTCCGATCATTGTTTACCTTAAGGGTATGTAGGTCAGGAGTTTGTCAGTTCACCTGGGGGGGGGGGGGGGGGGTTAAGTTTGTTGACAGTTGACATGTCATACAGGGTCAGCGTGTAGCGGCCTCAGATCAGGCTGTACGTGTCAGCTCAGGTAGGTACCTGTAGACAACTGTAGAGAGGTGGACGGCAACTCTTGCTAGTTGGTAGTGATGCGGTTATACCAGCATGTTAAGATATTAGAGGTAGGCTACTTCCGCATTTTCAAGACCTACCGATAAGAATTCCAATCTAATCAGACAAGAAATGAAACTGATAGGACTAAAATATAAATGACAGATAAAAAAAGTTTGATGTTTGTTAAGATGTGATGGAGTGGGGCGGATTATAAGCTGTTGTGTGGGTGGATTATCAGCTGTTGTGTGGTGGATTATCAGCTGTTGTGTGGTGGAAAGATCAAATTCAAATTCAAATTTATTCAAATTCAAATTTATTCAAACAACGGTTACAATTGTAGGCACAAAGGCCTTTTTTCACATTGGCCGTTTAAACAAATAAAACAATTCAATAACACATAGCAGTAACACATAGCACTAAAAATGTGGAATAAAGAAACAATGGTACATAGCTATCATACATAATTTGTGTGGTGGATTATCAGCTGTTGTGGTGGAAAGATGAAGTTTTGTGTGGTGGATTATCAGCTGTTGTGTGGGTGGATTATCAGCTGTTGTGTGGTGGATTATCAGCTGTTGTGTGGTGGATTATCAGCTGTTGTGTGGTGGAAAGATGAAGTTTTGTGTGGGTGGATTATCAGCTGTTGTGTGGTGGATTATCAGTTGTGTTGTGGTGGAAAGATGAAGCTTTGTGTGGTGGATTATCAGCTGTTGTGTGGTGGAATGATGAAGCTTTGTGGGGTGGATTGTTAGCTTTAGTATTAGTGTGAGGTCTAAGATTTTATAATTTTTTGTAGGTAGGTTCAAGTTTTACTAATTTTATAATTGTCGTTCTAATTTTCGCGTTGTATGTGTGTACATACAGCTTATTGAGGTTTACATTTTCTTTACATGTTAAAACAGGTTTACACTTTTTGTTAGTTTTATTTTTTACGTGTAAGGGTTTATTTTATATTGGTAAGATTTAAGTTTTCTATATGTCAGGTTTACAAACTAACAAACAGGTCGGCAACAACACACACAACACTGTGGTATTCTTGCAATATTTCTCGTGGCTCTTACAAAACCTGCCCTCGAATATTTGATACAATTTCCAATCCATCAAGGTTACAACAGCGTAGTTAAAAAAAAAACATAAACATTTAACATAAGAACTCAACTCCACGATTGTCTAGGATCGCTAGGTCTAAAGAGCGACTTTATATAAGTTTAAGATCGACGTTGTATTATACTTGTGTAAAGGAATCAAGATAATAGCTCCTGTATAGAGAGGTGCAGTTTTAATCTCTAACCCCAAACAACCAGCGATAAGAGCTTTACAGCGTCTATCAACAACCTGTCCATTCGACTATAGACACTATAGATCTAGTAACCCAGTTAGCAAACAGTTCACAAACATCGCTGTCGGCAGCTACGACACAGGGATTAACGTGACACAGGGGGTCAACCTGATTCAGGGAGGTAGGGGTGTAATGTGGAGGTGTAGGTGGTGGAAGTGTAGGAGGTGGGGTGTGTATGAGGTGGGGTGTATGAGGTAGGAGGGTAGGAGGTGACGGTGTAGGAGGTGGGGTGTATGAGGAGGGGGTGTATGAGGTGGGGTGTAGGAGGTGTAGGTGTAGGAGGTGGGGTGTGTAGGAGGTGAGGTGTGTAAGTGGGGGTGTAGGAGGTAGTAGCGTATGAGGGGGGTGTATGAGGTAGGAGTGTAGGAGGTGGGGGTGTATGAGGTGGGGGTGTAGGAGGTGGGGTGTATGAGGTAGTAGCGTATGAGGGGGGTGTATGAGGTAGTAGCGTATGAGGGGGGTGTATGAGGTAGAAGTGTAGGAGGTGGGGGTGTATGAGGTAGGAGTGTAGGAGGTGGGGGTGTATGAGGTGGGGGTGTAGGAGGTATTAGCGTATGAGGTGGGGGTGTAGATGGTGGAGGTGTAGGAGGTGGGGTGTGTAAAGTTGGGGTGTGTAGATGAGAGAGTAGGAGGTAGTAGCGTATGAGGTGGAGTGTGTAGAAGTTGTAGGTGTAGGAGGTGGGGGTGTAGATGGTGGAGGTGTAGGAGGTGTAGGAGGTAGTAGCGTATGAGGTGGGGGTGTAGGAGGTGGGAGTGTAAGAGTTGTCAACAAAATGTTTATACAAAGACCGACAAAAATGTACTAACGTGACACGATTCACAAAAAATGTGCTAATGTGACATTATTGACAAAAATATGCTAACGTGACATTATTGACAAAAATGTGCTAACGTGACATTATTGACAAAAATATGCTAACGTGACACGATTCACAAAAAATATGCTAACGTGACACGATTGACAAAAATATGCTCACGTGACACGATTGACAAAAATATGGTTATGTTGCACGATAGACAAAAATGTGCTAACGTGACACGATTGACAAAAATATGCTCACGTGACACGATTGACAAAAATATGGTTATGTTGCACGATAGACAAAAATGTGCTAACGTGACACTATTGACAAAAATATGCTAACGTAACACGATGGACAAAAATGTGCTAACGTGACACTATTGACAAAAATGTGCTAATGTGACACTATTGACAAAAATGTGCTAACGTGACATTATTGACAAAAATGTGCTAACGTGACATTATTGACAAAAATATGGTTATGTTGCACGATCAACAAACACGAGTGACATTAACACTGCCCTGTTGTGTAGTCACCAAAATCACACCCGTTTAGCACGGCGTGTTCCCACACAAACATGTCATACATTTAGCTTTGATTCTGAATTTTCCTGTACACTAGACAACCAATTTGCATATTAAGTTATTCACGCTGTTCCAGACTGTGGCGCCACCTGGAAACTTATTGGTGCAGCACGGAGTAGTATCTCGAGTGTCTGCATAGTCTGTAAACATTGGGGAATCTGTTGCTATAATTAGATTATCAGTTTTCAAAGCGAGGTTGTACTGATATCTGAAATCGTCATATTTCCAAAATATGCTTTCATTTCCAAAATAAAATAAAATAATTACTTGAGAAACGTATCTCAAGAAACCCAACAAAACGTCAAAGTGTCTTTAAATGTCAACTGTGTCAAGTGTCACAGTGTCAATACATGTCAATACGTGTCAACTAGACGCAACAGTTTCAATACGATAAAACACAGTAGTGCAATACTGTATGCTAACGTAGCATTTTCATTAAAATATTTGCTTATTAAGAAATCATTTTAATGGTTCAAAGAAAAAATACAATATTTGGTCTTATAGAGCGTTCTTGAGTCGCAACAGTTTCAATACGATAAAACACAGTAGTGCAATACTGTATGCTAACGTAGCATTTTCATTAAAATATTTGCTTATTAAGAAATCATTTTAATGGTTCAAAGAAAAAATACAATATTTGGTCTTATAGAGCGTTCTTGAGTCGAGCCCCCCCCCCCCCCCCCCCCCATGAATAAAAAATGTTAACTTTTAATTAAATTGACGAGTATTCTCTGCCCCATATTAGCTCCAATTTTAGTTGAAAAATTTGTAAACATTTATCTAATAGCAGCTTACCATAGTGATAGAGTGATGGCTATCTAGCTCTCTCACATTAATTAATCTATTGTATGTAGTCATATCCAAAATAAAACTGTATGGCCAATATCAAACTGAATTGAAAGATTCGCTCAGAATCGAACCCACATCTTACTTTACCCGTTCTACCCAACATTCGTGTACCGACTTTAGTTAGATACTTGCGTACACCACTTAACAAGATACATGTGTACATACTTGCGCACGCAACCAAAATAGCTATTCATACATTCCACTATGTTTAAACAACTATTTTAAAACTATGCACACCATTCACCCTATTCAAATATTTAACCATTATGTACACACGCTTAAAAATATTCAAATAATTGATACTTTAAACAAATAGAATTTACCTAAAAAAAAAAAAAAACAACTACGTAACTTTGTTTTTTGTGTGTTTGGGGGTGGGAGAAGGGAGAGTACTGCGATATCGTGTTCTCCTCGATATTGTCTGCGGTAAAGGCGGGGAATATGATCCTAATGTTGACAGCGATTAGGGAAGGTTGGGTCTAGCTCTATGCTAGGTCAACATGCACTTTGGCCAGAGGACAAACCATACTTAAACAAATGTAGCTTATTTTCTATTTGATCAACAGTAGCCATAGAAGGAAAGCCCTAAATATATAAGGTTTCATGCTGGCCACACATACACTTGCTATAACACATCTAAAGTCGTCTCATGCTACACAAAAAAAAAAAAATTTAATAAATGGTGGGGACCACTTAAATTTTAAAAAATATAATTTTTTATGAATGTTTACATTCTTTTGTGGACCTATAAAAATGGAAATCACATCATCAGCAATGTGAAACATAGCATTACAAAAGTAATTATTAATATTTATTTATTTCTGTTGTTTATGTTCTATGGACCTTCTAATGTGATCATGCATTTACTTTTATAAATTTATAAATATTGCGTTGGAGTATCTGGAAAATTTATGAAAAAACAAAACAAAACAAAACAACAACAACAAACAAATTAAAGCCTTGTTAATGACACAATATGCATTTAAAATGTGAAATAAAAGAATCTTTAAAAAATGAAAAAAAAAACAACCCCAAAAAGCTACACACCACACCGCAGTGTGCTATGTTTTGACTGCGATAATTCCCAGGATATGTGTCGTGTTGACACGCTGTTTTAATCTCCGTTTAATCTAGGAGGGGGGGGTATGTTGACGGGGACCCCATGGTCAGGTTTCTAAAACAGAAGTACTGCTGTCAGGTTTAATTTTATTTGTGGCTGCTACCAGTTGTATGTACGTTTTATGTGGTGCTGCCAGTTGTATGTACGTTTTATGTGGTGTTGCCAGTTGTATGTACGTTTTATGTGGTGCTGCCAGTTGTGTGTACGTTTTATGTGGTGCTACCAGTTGTATGTACGTTTTATGTGGTGTTGCCAGTTGTATGTACGTTTTATGTGGTGCTGCCAGTTGTATGTACGATTTAAATACCCAGGCTGTTAACACCATTTGTTGTTTATAAAGTTCAAATGTCCGCACATGAACGCTAGGTATGCATGTGTATTGTTTGGCTCAAGTGCGCCTATAATATCCATGCCCTTCCGTACCCCACTCTCATACCTCTCATGTTCCCTAGTTGTTCTGGATACGATGTTGTTAGTTTCCTGTCAGGACATCTTGACCTAAAAGAAAAACAAGCATCCTATTTATTGCTTGAAAATACATTTTAAAAAGATGTTTTATTATAACATTTTTATATGATATTTTATATAGGTATAAGTAAACCAAATAGTTTTTTTTAAATTTATGCCAAACTTAAGTTTATTTGGCAGTGATAACCCGGCACCCTACCTGAATGTTTACATGTATTGAGAGAGCTGTTGTTTGCAACGATATTTTTCTATTTGAGCTTTGGGCTGTAATCACTATACATTTCTTCAGCAATGGAAGAATTTAAAATCAACTACAGCGAATTCCATAAGGATTTTACAAGATTCACAGAGCAGCTTCCATCAACATTCATGAAAGGAGTTCCAGCCGATTTTGAAGTTAAGGTCAGTAGTTTTCAAGAGAACATTCGATTGTATTTTCTCATAGAATAATTTGTAATACTGTCAAATTGGGATACATAATTCGTTTCTTTGCGTCAATTATCGAACACATCTTTTGACAGTTGAAACTTGTACCCACCTACCTTACTGTAAAGGATCCTGAGTTTGCCAACGAAAATTTGAAAGACATCGTCAAACGCTGGTACTACTTGCAGGAGGTGATCGAGAAGCTGCTGACGCTGATGGTGCAGTTGGTCAAGTCGGCCAGCCGGGCTTGGTACCAGGGGCAGAAGGACAAACTGGAGTGGTGGATGTTTCTGGTGCAGACGTCGGTGGAGTTGATGAAGCGAGACCCTAGGATGAACACTGCTGATCTTGTGGGTATGTCAGTGGCGTCGCTAGGTCGGGTGTCACCCGGACTGCTGATCTTGTGGGTATGTCAGTGGCGTCGCTAGGTCGGGTGTCAACCGGTGCGGCACCTCATGGCGCCCCCTCCCCCTTAATTTTATCTGTAAATTTTGCAGTTGGTGTCACCCCCCCCCCCCAACGGTAAAAGCTTTAAAGTGTTTACATTTAATACAATACTAACGATGTTTATCTATAGTTGGTTATTAATACATCCGGATGTACCATTGTTTTCTCTATAGTTTGCATGTTTACTTCATGGTGTCACCCCCCCCCCCCCCCTCCCTTGTCGAGATTGTAATTATGGATTAAAATACTTTTTAACTCGAGTTTACCATTCATCTAACTGGCAAAAAAAACGACTTATTTATTCTATAAATCGTGCAATTTTTGTCTTGGTCACCGAAATGGTGTCACCCGGTGCGATCCGCCCCCCCCCGCCCCCCCCCCCCCCCCCGCCCCCACCTCGCATGTGACAAGGTTTTTCTGTACTCTGGCATGGTTGCAACGTAGATGGCGTCTTGTACATTTAGTTTCTAGCCTGGATACATTTGGTTTTATATTTTGTAACTTTAATATTTCTTTTTCCCGATAACATTTGGTTTTATATTTTGTAACTTTAATATTTCTTTTTCACGATAACATTTGGTTTTATATTTTGTAACTTTAATATTTCTTTTTCCCGATAACATTTGGTTTTATATTTTGTACCTTTAATATTTCTTTTTCACGATAACATTTGGTTTTATATTTTCTACCTTTAATATTTCTTTTTCCCCAGTTATATCATCTGGAATAGGAGGCGTTAACTCTGGTACTATTGACCAATCAAGGAGCATAGAATTACAGAAGTATGTATTTCTTTATTTGATTAACCAGCAATCATTAGACAAGTCTGTTTTACATGTTGTGATCATAAACGTATACTATTCGACATTTGGTTTATTACACTACATCTATGGTACGATTGTCTTTTTCTCTGTAACAGTTTTGATATCGAAAAGAGTAATCTAAGTTATAGTCTCTCAATTAATTTAAGTGGATTTTTGAGACGCTTAGTTACTAGATGGTCCACTTATATTTCAGAATACTTCATCTTTTAACAAAAAGGGGTGGGCTAGGATTTTATAATACTAATTCGTCGGTATGGATACAAATATTTTTGAAAGATGTGTATCGACAAAATATTTGCAATTTTTTTATTTGTATGTGTATTGACAAAATATTTAACATTTTCTTTGTTTGAATATGTTTCGACAGAAAGTTTAACATTTTCTTGTTTGAATATGTATTGACAAAATGGTTAACATTTTGTTTCGAATATGTTTCGACAGAAAGTTTAACATTTTTTTGTTTGAATATGTATTGACAAAATGTTTAACATTTTGTTTCGAATATGTTTCGACAGAAAGTTTAACATTTTCTTGTTTGAATATGTATTAACAAAATGGTTAACATTTTGTTTTGAATATGTTTCGACAGAAAGTTTAACATTTTCTAGTTTGAATATGTATTGACAAAATGTTTAACATTTTGTTTTGAATATGTTTCGACAGAAAGTTTAACATTTTATTGTTTGAATATGTATTGACAAAATGTTTAACATTTTGTTTTGAATATTTGAATATGTTTCGACAGAAAGTTTAACATTTTCTTGTTTGAATATGTATTGACAAAATGGTTAACATTTTGTTTTGAATATGTTTCGACAGAAAGTTTAACATTTTCTTGTTTGAATATGTATTGACAAAATGTTTAACATTTTGTTTTGAATATGTTTCGACAGAAAGTTTAACATTTTATTGTTTGAATATGTATTGACAAAATGTTTAACATTTTGTTTTGAATATTTGAATATGTTTCGACAGAAAGTTTAACATTTTATTGTTTGAATATGTATTGACAAAATGTTTAACATTTTGTTTTGAATATGTTTCGACAGAAAGTTTAACATTTTATTGTTTGTATTGACAGAATCAAGGTACAAGTAGACGAATTCGTGAGAATTTTGGAGTCAATGAAAAAACCCGGCAGTTGAGACACGACCAAAGGTGTCTGTGACAGGTGTCTGTGACAGGTGTTTGTGACAGGTGCCTGTGACAGGTGTTTGTGACAGGTGTTTGTGACAGGTGCCTGTGACAGGTGTCTGTGACAGGTGCCTGTGACAGGTGTCTGTGACAGGTGCCTGTGACAGGTGTCTGTGACAGGTGTCTGTGACAGGTGCCTGTGACAGGTGTCTGTGACAGGTGCCTGTGACAGGTTTCTGTGACAGGTGTCTGTGACAGGTGTCTGTGACAGGTGCCTGTGACAGGTGTCTGTGACAGGTGCCTGTGACAGGTGTCTGTGACAGGTGTCTGTGACAGGTGTCTGTGACAGGTGTCTGTGACAGGTGCCTGTGACAGGTGTCTGTGACAGGTGCCTGTGACAGGTTTCTGTGACAGGTGTCTGTGACAGGTGTCTGTGACAGGTGCCTGTGACAGGTGTCTGTGACAGGTGCCTGTGACAGGTGTCTGTGACAGGTGTCTGTGACAGGTGCCTGTGACAGGTGTCTGTGACAGGTGTCTGTGACAGGTGTCTGTGACAGGTGCCTGTGACAGGTGCCTGTGACAGGTGTCTGTGACAGGTGTCTGTGACAGGTGTCTATGACAGGTGTCTGTGACAGGTGCCTGTGACAGGTGCCTGTGACAGGTGTCTGTGACAGGTGCCTGTGACAGGTGTCTGTGACAGGTGTCTGTGACAGGTGTCTGTGACATATGTTTGTAATTTAGTTTTTGGACATCTGTAGGCCATGTCTCAGACATACGTCAAGGACAATTGTCAGATGCATCCGTCACACTTGAAAAAATCTCAGCATTTTGCGTATTTCTTTTTTACCATTTTCATTTATCACATCATTTTTGTGTGCTTTTAGAAGAATTAAAATCAAATTTGTATATTTGATAAACATTTGATAAAAACGTAACGTTTTTTTAGAGTATACTTGTATTGCTTTACAATTACAGTTAGCATTAAAGACATTAGCTTAGCTACCATTTTAAAATACTTGTTGAGACGATCAATGCACTACTGATAACAAAATCCGGTTAGAATGTTGTATTTGGTTTAAAATGGGAAATAACATCAGTAGCATACAGTAATTGTTGCCGTGAGTCTTCACTAGTTTAGTAAACAAAATGTTGCCATATATTCCGAGCATTCTCTCTGATCAGATTAGACATATAATCAACACGTCCGGTCTTAATGTAGAATACGTCGCTTCGCTTGAGTGAGTAACACAAACAGTCGCTACACAGCTCTGCACATAATCTAGAGAATCTTTGCTTCAAACAAACATCGGCGTCACAGGCTAGTAAACACACACTTTAACAAACTAAAACATGCCATACGTTTCTTACACACAAGCATACGCATATGTGCATTAATCTAATCTACAATCATCAATCACATACACAATTGCTAGTAAGTACATATAGCATGCTCGCATTGTCTAAGGCTATTTAACTTATTTTCTAGTTCTTATTGCTTATGTATAGCATAAAACGATATTATTTTCATACAATTTCTGTGATGTAATATGCAATGAATACAAGTGTCATTTCCTAAAATGTCACATTTTAATTTAAATAAATCTAGATCTGTAGGTGTAGATGCAATTGTCGCCAGAGTCTTTACATCAAATAGAAATTTGGAAGTAGATCTAACGTTTTGTCGACATTTTAAATGACATGTATTTCATTTCAGTTTTTGTAAAATGTATACGAACAAAGATCTGTCAATAAAGTTAATATATTTTTAGTAAAATTGTTCTTTTGTCTTCTCTTGTTGATTAACACCACACAATTCATCCTCGAAAACTAAGAAAACTACAAACACCTTACTCTTCACATTCGAAACAATCACATTTTTACTAAGATAAACCCCGGCTTTTATACAACGTCCACATCTTTACCAACATGTTTTTGTCTTTTGAATGATGAGGTCACAGAAACAGGTGAACTTTACTTCACCCACCACATGTACCGCCAGTTCCAAAAGGGAACTTTACTAGAGGCATCTAAAAGATGTGACACCTCAGCTTACAATGGTTCTCTTTTTAAAATATCGATTTCTTTCTATAATATTTTCTCTGCTCCGACCCCTTGTAAATAACAAATGAATACATTATTAAAATAAACGTCTAAATAATAATATGAATCAGAATCCTTCCTTGAGATTTCTCACTTTGCTTTGTCTGTGTGGGAAAATTAGAAATAATTAACAATTACAGCTTGTGTTTTGATTGGCGCCTGTCGTCTCGCCCAGGGAAATCACATAGGCCTACCATTCGGTGTACGTACATGTTCGAGGTAAACATTTTAAAATCACCTACCATTCGGTGTACGTACATGTTCTCGGTAAACATTTTAAAATCACCTACCATTCGGTGTACGTACATGTTCTCGGTAAACATTTTAAAATCACCTACCATTCGGTGTACGTACATGTTCTCGGTAAACATTTTAAAATCACCTACCATTCGGTGTACGTACATTCTCTTCGTAAACATTTTAAAATCACCTACCATTCGGTGTACGTACATATTCTCGGTAAACATTTTAAAATCATCTACCATTCGGTGAACATACATTCTCTCCGTAAACATTTTAAAATCACCTACCATTCGGTGTACGTACATGTTCTCGGTAAACATTTTAAAATCACCTACCATTCGGTGTACGTACATTCTCTTCGTAAACATTTTAAAATCACCTACCATTCGGTGTACGTACATATTCTCGGTAAACATTTTAAAATCATCTACCATTCGGTGAACATACATTCTCTCCGTAAACATTTTAAAATCACCTACCATTCGGTGTACGTACATGTTCTCGGTAAACATTTTAAAATCACCTACCATTCGGTGTACGTACATTCTCTTCGTAAACATTTTAAAATCACCTACCATTCGGTGTACGTACATATTCTCGGTAAACATTTTAAAATCATCTACCATTCGGTGAACATACATTCTCTCCGTAAACATTTTAAAATCACCTACCATTCGGTGTACTTACATGCTGTCGGTAAACATTTTAAAATCATCTACCATTCGGTGTACGTACATGTTCTCGGTAAACATTTTAAAATCACCTACCATTCGGTGAACATACATTCACTGGGTAAACATTTGTGTAGGTAGGTTACTCTAAATCAGAAGAAAAATTACGCAAAATTATTTTTAATTTCAATTAGGGACTATATCGTAATTATATGATTTGACAATAAATATAGATTTATATGAAATATTATGAGGTTGGTTTATTTTTCCTTAAACCGCACGATGTACGCAACACAGTTTGTTCACTGTTCAGTAGTAAAGCGTACTGCTTTCTTGGGGGAAAAACATTTCTAGCACTAAATTGAACGGAAGTTACTGTTGCCTAATAAATCATGGCGAAGCGTATTGCTTCGCCTTAGAAAAACACGTACAATCTTAGTCTGGAGATTTCAATATGCAGTTAGAAATTTAACCAATTAATGTCAAACAAGGTAACTTTTTCTTAGAGTTTTACAGTACAAGATAAATAATTAAAAAGACAGGCGAAGTAATTAATAACCAATGGCGACTTGAAAGTCGAGTTGACGAAAATTCTGCCATAAACAAATATAAATAAAACATAGATCTAGACCAGTGGTTCCCAACCTTTTTCGAGTGGCGACCCCCTTTTATAGAAAGTAAATGACCCGCGACCCCCATAGAATTAAAAAGCCAAAATTAGTATGGGTAAAATCACGATATAGCGTCGGTTATTATTCCGGAACTGTACAGCAGTAAAAAACAGTAAAACCATGGCGTAGCCTGTCGAGCCGTTCCGGAAACCACCGGAAATACTGTAAACCATCATTTATTTGCCGCCATATTATTTTTAATACATAATGTTTAAAAATGTGCAAGGATTGATTTTAGTTGCATTTTAAATACTGTTTTGGGTAATTATTTTGTATTTCTAATTATTTTAAGTGTATGTGCTAATTATTGCTGCTACTAAACATTATTCTAGTTATTCTTACTACTTTTAACTTTAGTTAATCTAATCGTCTTATTTACTAACAGAACTAGAGCTGGTTGTCGCAAATCTTCTGCAGGTTTTTTCTGTTTCTTAAAAAAAAACATTAATTACTACACTCGACTTTATTAATAATATTTAGATTTACTAATTGTTGCTAATTTTTGGTCAGTTAAACATTAAATTAAGTTAAAGCATTAATTTAATGCACTTGACTTTATTTTTCTTTCATCGGTCAAATAAACTATGGTTTACAGTAACGAATGTTACCGAAACTCAACGAACATTACCCAATAATTTCCGACGCTATATCGTGATTTTACCTTAGTATGGTAATTAATAAGCACTAAAATAAGATTTTCTAATAGACTTTCAATATGAACTACTCTTGATAACTATTTTAATAGCATATTATTCACTAAACCTTCGTGGTTAAGTTTTTCATTTTAAAAAAAATTGTTAACGCCAACCTATGTCATTATAATTATCTTAATTTTGTTTTTAATCGAAGAATAGTGTTGAAAATATATTCTCGAAAAGTCAATCAATTTTACGTTTGGGTATGAATGGTGAATACTACACCAAAATTGTGTCTGCAGTTTTTCATCTTACTCGGAATCATTCTGCAAATCAAATAATTCATCTTGTAATTCATCGGAAATGCTGGCAACATCAAGGGAAGAAGAGAATGGGTAATGCCTAAATACAGATTTTTTTTTCAGCTCAGAGAAAAGCGATGCAGTTCATTTTCAAGAGATTCAAGATGCCCAGAAATCGCTTCTTTCAAAATTTTATTTATCTCACAATCAGATTCATCTACCACACCGCAGAGTTTCTCAAATTTACAATATTTCCAAGATTTATTTTCTTTACCGATTTTGCAGCTTTGATAAAAATGCCCCGAGATTATCATGGAAAGTTATAATATTCGTACATTTTCCCTGAAGCTTCAGGTTAAGCTTATCTTGATGTTCGAATACATCTGCTAGGTATGATACTCTCTCCAACCACTCTATGTCGTTTTAAGTATACCAAAAAGTCTTTTTTTTTTCGTTTGCACTTCAAAGAACAATTAGATTTCAGATTTCAATTCAGAAACACAATTTACAACATTTCGTTTTACAGCCAGCGTACTGTAGTGTAGAAGAGCAGAACCTCGTGATCTATATTAATGTTTTTGCTCAGTTCTTTGAAGGCTCCAGATTTTATATAATTTACGACTTATACTAGCAATGGACTCTTGATGTCGATTGGTTAGGGCAGTGGTTAGGGAGCTAAATCTTTTCTGTTTTCGGAAAGCCCGATTTTGAGCTAAACATGATGGCGCACCATCCGTACAAACCCCCACAGCCGTTCTAACACATTTTAATCATCCAGTTTCAAAAAAGATATTTATTTTCTCCATGCTATCTTCACAAAAGAGCAACTCTTCTTTGCTATCATCCGCATTAATATAAACACAGACCAGCAACTGCGAACACGAACTCACGTCTGTTGATTTATCAACTTGAAAAGCAAACAATGGTGTAAGCTTAATTTCGATAAAAATGTGTTATTTAACATTTACGTACATGCAGCGCTTGATGAGATTTTCTCCGATTGTTTTTTTTTTTTTGCTTGGCATTTTCTATCGCGACTTTATTTGATGCTTGCACTAATTCTGGTGAAAAGAACTCCATATATTTTTTGGTGTGTTCCGAATGACTCGTCTCAAATGGCGTTTTAGTTTTGAAGATTTCATAGATTCGTGACAGAGAACAACTTTGTACAGTGCGCTTTGTTTCTTCTCTATTACATTTCCAGTGATGTTAATGAAGCCGAATTTAAAAAATTCTTCTAAATATTTATGTTTTGTTTCAAATTACTAAGGTTTAGTATACCAGTTGGCGACCCCCCAGAAAGACCTTCGCGACCCCCAAGGGGGTCGCGACCCCCAGGTTGGGAACCCGTGATCTAGACTCTAGATAGAAATAGATGTTTTCATTTGGTGTTTTCAGAAGATGGTCAGGAAGGTTCTGTATAGCAAATTATTGTTTGTCTTATGTAGTATTTACACTTGCGACATGTATACAATACGTGTCTAGGTACAATCCTGGGAAAAACAACTCACAGCGAGATTTTTCTCTAATCACCTTTTGAAAACCCAATTTTTTAGTGATGTTTTCAAAACTGCCAATAAAAAAAAACAAAAACAAAATAAAAGAAACCGGGTCAGATCATGTTTACTTGTAATTCCAGTGATAAAATGAAAAATTAAATGTTTTAGGTTTTTTTAAAATCCAGTCGTTTAGTAAGTTCCGAAGTTTTTATAAAGATTTTGCAGCTTTGCGAAAATTCGCAATAACATGGCGATTATTGACAAAGGCGTAACGTCGTGGGCCCTTTTGAAATCAAGCTTTTCGGGGTCGGAGGGAGGGCTATATATTATGAATTTTTGGAGGTCTACAAAAACGTTATATATAGCTTATATGGGTTAGGGATGGGCACACCGTTGCGTCCTTTTGTGTTAATATAATGTGTGCCATGTCTCTAATCTTTGTTGCAATTTCTTAGAAATTCACAGTTTGACAATTTTCATATCTTAGCTAACAATATCTTAGTATTTACAGTTTTGACAATTTACCACAGGGAAGCACGTATCTTAGCTAACAATATCTTAGCATTTACAGTTTTGACAATTTACCACAGGGAAGCATGTATCCTAGCTAACAATATCTTAGTATTTACAGTTTTGACAATTTACCACAGAGAAGCACGTATCCTAGCTAACAATATCTTAGTATTTACAGTTTTGACAACTTACCACAGGGAAGCACATATCTTAGCTAACAATATCTTAGTATTTTCAGTTTTGACAATTTACCATAGGGAAGCATGTATCCTAGCTAACAATATCTTAGTATTTACAGTTTTGACAATTTACCCCAGAGAAGCACGTATCCTAGCTAACAATATCTTAGTATTTACAGTTTTGACAATTTACCACAGGGAAGCACGTATCCTAGCTAAAAATATCTTAGTATTTACAGTTTTGACAATTTACCACAGGGAAGCACGTATCCTAGCTAACAATATCTTAGTATTTACAGTTTTGACAATTTACCACAGGGAAGCACGTATCCTAGCTAACACTGAATCGAGTCCACCCAAACACAGTGTGAGATCAAACCATGGGGAAAAAGAACAAGAAAAAGGGAGAGAAAAAAAAGAAAGGGCAAGTAGAGGAGGCCGTAGACAGTGACGCGAAACAGGAAGAGACAGACACTGCGCCGGAAGAGGAACCTGTAGCCTCTGGTGGTGAAGTGGAGGAGAAGGTAAGGACGTCAAAAACAATTGAAACCTACGGGGCAGAAGCGGCAGTCGTCGTGGGCGGCAACGAGTTGGACGACCCATACTTCGCCGACGAGAGTAAGGGGTCCGATGAGGATAAGAAAAAAGAAAAGAAGAAACACGGCGATAAAGATAAAAGCAAGAAGAAGAAAAAGAAAAAAAGTAAATCGCAGGAAGATACACAGGAGGAGGTGGTGAGGGAGGCTGAGAAAAAATCCCCGGAAGGGACGCAGGAGGAGCCTGTGACGGAGACTGAGCCGGAGGAGCCTGTGACGGAGACGGAGCCGGAGGAGCCTGTGACGGAGCCTGAGTCTCTGGCCGTGAGTGATGTAAACACGTCCGAGAGTGAGAAGATTACACAGTCGGAGGACGTGACGGAGGACGTGACGGAGGACGTGACGGTGGACGAGACCGCCCCTCTTAAATCAGTGTCGGCGGTTTCTGTCACCAAAGAACCCTCAGAGTTAAACATCATAATGGATGCCGATGAACTAGATGATTACTTAAAAAAATATGCTTGGGAAAAATTCTTTGCCTTAGCTTCTGAACCTTCAGAGTTGCCGAACAATAAAATGACGAGTGTGCAGGCACTAAGGCCGGGTTCGAGTACCCACGAAGTTCAGACTGATTATACTGAAACTGATGGACATTTGAAAAACAATTGTCTTCGGAGTTCATTGTCTGCTTCTGCTCCAGAACCCCAAGAGGTTCAGAGGCAACAAAGCAATAAAATGATAAGTGCGGTGCAATCACTAAGGCAACTAAATACACAAGAAGTTCAGACAGATGAGAAAGTTGGAGTTGAATTCAATGGATCCGTTGAAGATGATTTTGATAATATTATCGTCAAAAAAAGGTTTCAAGATTTTAGCTGCAACGTGTCATTGGACGTGGCGAAATCTCGAGAAAAACTCAAGACTAGTACAGCTGACTTTGGTGCCTTCGTCTTGGAGGATTTCCGTCATGTCTTAGATGGACGGAGCATAAACGAGAGACGAAGAGACAGCTCTCATAGGCCAGTGGGGTACAATGGTGAGCGAACCCTTCATTCAGATGATGATCCATATGCCAGTGAAAGGTCGCCCTCAAGTAAATCTAACTTCAAAGCACTTGACGGCGATCACACGCCCACATCCACCGGTAGGAAAACGAATCATCGAAATAAATATGAGGATGGCGATGAATATTGGGAAGATTTACCAGAGCCCGATAGAAATAGAGATGTAGCTCACAATGAGGCTGAGGTGGGTAGCGCCTCCAAGGATCCAGACAAGAAATCAAAGCGAACAGTTCCAGCCGAGGAGAGTTCTAAAAGAAAATCTAAAAAACCGCCTCACGATGATTTTGGGACAGATCTCCAAGATATAAGCAGTTGTTCATTGCTCACAAAAATTACGTTTAACAAAATTAAGAAAGATTGTTACGACGATGAGGGCAACTTAATCCAGAACCTATCAATAAAAAACAAGCAAGCTGGACGTGTCGACCTGTCAATCGAGAACCAAATCTACGGCATTCTTACTAATTCTAAACACACCTCTTGCAAACACATCCAGTTTGCAGATGATGTGCTGGGTGGCAGTGAGGAGTGCACATGTTACATTATTCCTTGTCCATGTACGGATGATGCAGAAGAGTTAGCCGATTTCACCCCGACACCACCACAAGGGTTTCAGCAAAGTAATGTTTTGCCAGACAACCAAGACGATTACAACAAAAGGCCTCCGACAAAGCGTAAACAGGTAAACGATGTTTCAACGGACGCCCAAGAAACAGGAAACTTTGCGTCGGTTCGAAAACTGAAACGAAAGCAACCTCAGTACGTCGAGTCTCCAGCAGATGCTGATGATCAAACTGAAGCTGAACAAATACGAAGCTTGGCAAAAACACCAAAACATGAGACGAGGCAGGCGGATGCTTCCCGCCGCGTTCAGAAAATAGACAGCTCCACTAGTCCTGCCATTGAGGTAGCAAGATCAACGACCCAGGCTGAGAATAACAGGAGGCGACAAATGACGGATAGCGCTGTTCAAAGCGTGGACAACTTCACCAGTCCCCCAGTTAACGATGAAAGAAAACGACTTGTTGCAGAAAGCAATGTAGCTATTGGAACCGCGGACAACTACATCAGCAAATCGACGAACGCATCTCGGCGACCATCGGTTTTAAACGATTCGGCTCACGCTAATGTCACCCGCAGCTTCAGAAGAACATCATCAACACCGGCGGCTAGACCTAAGCCCGTAAACACATCGCTGGATCGTGCCACAAACACAACTTCAGCCTCCACCGCCAACATCCTCCGGAATGCGGCTTCATCCAGCCCAGAGCCAGCATACATCAAGCGCGTCGGCTTCTCAACAGACGAGCTATTCGAACTGGACAGTCCTCCGGTTAGACTAGTTGTACAACGTAACAGCCAAGCTGGCAACGTTGGGATGGAGAGAGATTACCTCGATGATACCCCGGCAGTACAGGGCGAGCCAATAGTGGACCGGCTTATCATGGAATCTCCTAGAAACCGTACAGCCGAAGAAGTCCACAGCACTCTCAGAGATATTGCTAGCAGGTCGAAAAATGCCAGTGATGCGTTGACTGCAGATGAAGAGCTTACAGACGCGATCATCAGAAAATACTTTTATTGCGAGGCAGAAGCGATCGAGTCCCTGAGTCTTGCTGATTGCATGTGCAACTCGAAAGTTCAACAGTTCCGTTTGGTCCTAGAGCCCGTGGATACCGGAGACCACGGATCTTTAGACAGAACAAAGATACACGAGGACCAGATCATAACCAGAGAACTCACGGAAGACGAGCTGAGGGCACTGAAAAGGGCAAAACAACAAGAACTGGACGACGAGCTAAGCGGGCAGGAGGATTTGGAGTGGAGCCGGAGAGACTACAGAGTTGTCAACAAAACAAACCGTCCTAAGAAAACATCAGGTAAGCAGATCATTTATTTTCAACCATTCTACCCGCCGAACACCTGTCTAACTGTCGTACACCTGTCTACCTGTCGTACACCTGTCGTACACCTGTCGTACACCTGTCGTACACCTTTCTACCTGTGGTACACCTGTCTATCTGTCGTACACCTGTCTAACTGTCGTACACCTGTCTAACTGTCGTACACCTGTCTACCTGACGTACACCTGTCTACCTGTCGTACACCTGTCGTACACCAGTCGTAACCTGTCGTACACCTGTCGTACACCTGTCTACCTGTCGTACACCTGTCTACTTCTGGTACGCCTGTCTACCTGTCGTACACTTGTCTACCTGTGGAACACCTGTCTACTTGCAATTTTATATACTTGTCTAGAATAGGCACACCGACCTGCCTGTGGTATAGCTTTCCACCCGCAATACAATTGTCTAGCCGTATCTACCTGCCTAGTGGCTGTACACCTTTCTACCTGTAGTACACCTATTTGCCTTCACTTCACTTGTGTAGTTGTTATACACCTGTTTAGCTATGATACACCTATCTCGATATGATACACCTGTTTAGCTATGATACACCTATATCGATATGATACACCTGTCTAGATATGATACACCTGTCTAGATATGATACACCTGTCTAGATATGATACACCTGTCTAGATATGATACAACGGTCTAGATATGATACACCTGTCTAGATATGATACACCTGTCTAGCTACTGCAGGTTGCAGCTGACGCTTATTATTACGTCAGTCAAACTGTAACTAACTGATACTAGCTGGGCGGCCCGTAGGTTTCTATAGAATAAGTTAGTTGATACTAGCTGGGCGGCCCGTATGTTTCTATAGAATAAGTTAGCTGATACTAGCTGGGCGGCCCGTAGGTTTCTATAGAATAAGTTATCTGATACTAGCTGGGCGGCCCGTAGGTTTCTATAGAATAAGTTAGCTGATACTAGCTGGGCGGCCCGTAGGTTTCTATAGAATAAGTTAGCTGATACTAGCTGGGCGGCCCGTAGGTTTCTATAGAATAAGTTAGCTGATACTAGATGGGCGGCCCGTAGGTTTCTATAGAATAAGTTAGCTGATACTAGCTGGGCGGCCCGTAGGTTTCTATAGAATAAGTTAGCTATTACTAGCTGGGCGGCCCGTAGGTTTCTATAGAATAAGTTAGCTGATACTAGCTGGGCGGCCCGTAGGTTTCTATAGAATAAGTTAGTTGATACTAGCTGGGCGGCCCGTAGGTTTCTATAGAATAAGTTAGCTGATACTAGCTGGGCGGCCCGTAGGTTTCTATTGAATAAGTTAGCTGATACTAGCTGGGCGGCCCGTAGGTTTCTATAGAATAAGTTAGCTATTACTAGCTGGGCGGCCCGTAGGTTTCTATAGAATAAGTTAGCTGATACTAGCTGGGCGGCCCGTAGGTTTCTATAGAATAAGTTAGCTGATACTAGCTGGGCGGCCCGTAGGTTTCTATAGAATAAGTTAGCTGATACTAGCTGGGCGGCCCGTAGGTTTCTATTTAATAAGTAAGCTGATACTAGATGGGCGGTCCGTATGTTTCTATAGAATAAGTTAGCTGATACTAGCTGGGCGGCCCGTAGGTTTCTATAGAATAGGTTAGCTGATACTAGATGGGCGGCCCGTAGGTTTCTATAGAATAAGTTAGCTGATACTAGCTGGGCGGCCCGTAGGTTTCTATAGAATAAGTTAGCTATTACTAGCTGGGCGGCCCGTAGGTTTCTATAGAATAAGTTAGCTGATACTAGCTGGGCGGCCCGTAGGTTTCTATAGAATAAGTTAGCTATTACTAGCTGGGCGGCCCGTAGGTTTCTATAGAATAAGTTAGCTGATACTAGCTGGGCGGCCCGTAGGTTTCTATAGAATAAGTTAGCTGATACTAGCTGGGCGGCCCGTAGGTTTCTATAGAATAAGTTAGCTGATACTAGCTGGGCGGCCCGTAGGTTTCTATTTAATAAGTAAGCTGATACTAGATGGGCGGTCCGTATGTTTCTATAGAATAAGTTAGCTGATACTAGCTGGGCGGCCCGTAGGTTTCTATAGAATAGGTTAGCTGATACTAGATGGGCGGCCCGTAGGTTTCTATAGAATAAGTTAGCTGATACTAGCTGGGCGGCCCGTAGGTTTCTATAGAATAAGTTAGCTATTACTAGCTGGGCGGCCCGTAGGTTTCTATAGAATAAGTTAGCTGATACTAGCTGGGCGGCCCGTAGGTTTCTATAGAATAAGTTAGCTGATACTAGCTGGGCGGCCCGTAGGTTTCTAAAGAATAAGTTAGCTGATACTAGCTGGACGGCCCGTAGGTTTCTATAGAATAAGTTAGCTGATACTAGCTGGGCGGCCCGTAGGTTTCTATAGAATAAGTTAGCTATTACTAGCTGGGCGGCCCGTAGGTTTCTATAGAATAAGTTAGCTGATACTAGCTGGGCGGCGAATAAGTTAACTGCTATTCTTAATGAGTATATTGGCCAAAATACATTACCTGCTAATGTGTCCTCCGGAAACTACATGAAACTAGTTAAAAACTAAAGCCGTTTAATTTATAAACTGATTCAATGGGTCATCTCGCTGACTTCACCTCTAGTTTTATAGATGAAATACTCAAGTAATCTCTAAAATTGCGAGGTACACTATCCATTCTACATTATATTTTGAAATTAAAGAAACATTTTACAAGAAATTTGCTAAGGGCATTTACATAGTAATTGCTAAGTCTTAGGCAACTGTGGGTATTAAATATGCCGAAACAAATCATATAGCATGCCGCGTCGTGTTTCTTGGTTTAATATAAATCAAATATTAGTAAGGGCTTATTTAATATTACTAGCGATATAACATTAAAGTAACATTTTAAAGTTGAGCGGTCACAATTAAGTATGAAGTTTAATCAATCAAAAGTTAAGTACAAAAAAGTACATCAAAACAAACAAAACAAAACACATGCAAAATAAAGCGACCATATTTAGCATAGACATAATCTGTTTCTACCTATTCTGTATGTAAATTTCCCATAAACAGAGCTTTCATTTGTGGTGTTGAAAAAAAAATCTGTTTTCATGTACTTTGTACCAAAATCGTTTAGTTTACTGATTCGATAAAGTAGACCTACGTTGCTACTGAATTATATTAGCCTTGAAGCCAGCATAGATTCCTCTTGTTAAGATTGTGTATTATAGACAGGTATTATTAGTGCACCTTGCATATATCATCTAGCAACATCACCAGACAGGCACTAGATGGGAAACCACATTGAAAGAGGAAAGTAGGTAGGACAAAAAAAAAACGTGAAAAAGGTTAGCTATAGGAGAAGCAGAAGCAGCCGGAATGTCGTGGGCCCAACTAGGAGGAATCGCCCAGAACTGAGTACGATGGAGAGGTGTGGTTACATCCCCTTCCTCCACAAGGGGTCCACATGAATAATGATGATGATTATTATAATTAGTAAAACCCATTTTTCTTGTTACCAGCATAGATTCTTAAAATTAAGATTTTGTAATATCGTCAAGTATAACTAGTGAAATCCTTTTGTCTTTTTACCTTTAAAATGAAACCAAACATTTTAGTATTCATCACCAAGGGCTATAATTAGTCATTATGAATAAATTTTCTTATTAGATAATTAAAAAACTTAGTGTGTTATTTACTTTCTCTTATACAGAGTATAGAAAAAGCATTGTAATCGTGCACAAAAATTAAATGCAAATTTTGACAGTGTTCGCCGTTTTACACCTCATTACTTTATGGTATATAAGAGTATAAAAGAATGTATTTTAATCGTGCAAAAAATTTAAATCGAGATTTAGACAAATTTGACGTTTACAGCCTTCCGGAACGGAAAAAATTAGTTTTGCCATCCTGTCCGTCTGTATGTGTATGTGTGTGTGTCAGTTAATTTGACGATAATTTATACATAAATATGACACATTTTTGAATTTTCTATCAACTTTTGAGCAATGTCCAGTAACCGGAAGCGATATATCCTCTAGTTCCGGTTTCTAAAAAGCCGATAACGAGTAAAATTTAAGTTAGTTTGAAGAAATTGCACATATAATCATTAATTGTATGTGCAAGTTTTTACCAACTTTTGAACTATTTCCGGTTACCGGAAACATTAATTTACTCTATTTTTGTTATTTTAAATACTGATAACATTGAATACCGTTTCAGTTTGCTGGTCGAAATTTCATATAAAGGTACATAATCATATTCACTGTCTGCTTTACAATTTTTAGTGATATCAGTTGACCGGAAGTAGTACTTTAGGCTATTTCTAGTTAAAAGTACATATTTTGCTTTTTAGTATACAAAAACTGCGTTCATTTTATGTGCAAATCGTTTTTCTATTCTCATTAAAAAAATTAAGTATTGGAAAAAATTCCTGAAAACTTTCACGGTAAACAAATGTATTAGTGTCACGGTAAAATAATGCTGGATCAGTGTCACGGTAAAACAGTGTGGATTCTCCACCAGCTGAAGTCCAACATCTGACTGTAACTAAAGTTATCAATCGATTCCATACACACGAAATGCTGAATTGTAATACAAATCCAAATAAGATTTAAGAAAGACAACTTTACTGTACACGTAGATAAGCTTCTACGAATTTTGAAATAAAATTGAAAAAAAATCCACTGAAAAAAATAAAAATAAACACAAAGTTTGTATAGCTTTGAGACCACAAATACAAGTCCATATGTCACGTGCAGTGTGCACTTAAGGTTAAGTATTTGTGGCTTTGATCGGATAGTGTTGACAATATGGCCAGATGTATGTGAATATTCATACCTTCTATGAGCTGGTCACTAAAAGTAAGGATCCTGAATAATTCAAGTTTCTTCAAATATTATTGGTGCTTTGTGGGTGGCAGGTTTTTAAAATAAACTGAAGAAAATTCCACAATAGCCCAGCACTAAAGATATAGCGACGTGTAAAGACCAACATGAAGGCACATATCAGTATCACAAGATCTCCGTCTAAGGATTTATTCCTTACGTTCCTTACTAAGAAAAATGCTTGGTAATCAAATAATTGGCTAGTTTTGTAATTTATGCTGCCGTATTTAAAAATCAAACTGTAGTAAAAAAAAATAGTGAGAGTTGGTTTAAAATCGCTAAACTGTTTTTTTTTTAAAGTAATTAGTTTTGATTTAAAAATAAATAATGCATTTCATTCACTACATCGACACAATTTGCGTCCCGCTGCGACTCGATTGTTTTGCACCAGCTAAAACTGCACAGCAACATGAGGCGCACAACAAGCAACCATTCTCGAACGGAAGTAACCGAAACATAAATAAAGATGTTAACATGGCGATCCACCGTGTACAGAAGATAATCTAGCGAGTGTCACTACATGGGTGGACGATTACCAAACAGGGTGGCAGCACTTAGTCTTTGTCACGGGTCGCCTCAAGACTTAATGGAACTTTAACTCAAACAATTGATGCATTTCTGAATAGCACGACATATATAAATACACCCCGTACAAACCCAGCGCTTTAGGTAGATTAGGTACATGTTATATCAGCCATATCTACATTAGTATAACTTAGGAAAAGTGTTTTAGGTAGATTCTATACTAAAGATTCGAATGGGGCGAATTTAATATATTATCCTTAAGTTTGTACCGCAGTATTGCTAAACTAAGCCAAACGCTTATTTCTGACTGTAACCGTTGCCTTCACCAATATCAGAGAACTAACTGTAGTCATAGGCTGTGTTTGGGTGTGCTAGATCTAGACACACTGCTCTAAACCTTAACAGCACAAAATCTGACTCTAACCCTGGTGACCGTGATCCTGGCCAGTGGCGTCACTAGGTCGGGTGTCACCCTGTGATGTAATTGAGGGAGTCATTTCACCTCCACCAATTTTTCATTGTAGTTTTGGTGTCACCCCTCACCCCTTCTATTTTTCTGTTTCACTGGATAAAACATTATTTTGACAGTGTATCTTAAAATTTTTCGATTTGGTGTCACCCCTAACATTGGTGATACCCGGGCCGCATTCGACCCCCGGCTTGTGACGCCACTGATCCTGACTGTAGCTCTAACTCTAAAGTATCCTACGTCCGTAGTATCCGGCAGGTGTTTCATTTATTGACCGGCTTTTTGTTTTTATCCACCATACCACAGTAACTCTATATCAAGTTGTACAAGTTATACATTGAAAAAAAAAAACAACCCCGCGTATTAACAAAACCTAAAATTTAGCTGCAACTATCAAAGCTTCACGGACCACTAATTAGCTTACTAATTACATAATCAAATATTTACATTTTTTTTTTTGTAAACCTGCAACACCCGTTCAAACCTGTGGCTTGCACATAACAAGAGACCAGTCACATTTAGACACGCACATTACACACTTGATTCTACCTATCCGAAAGTTCAGTGTACGTTTTTTAATTAAATGTGATCTACAGTTTTATACTTTTCTAGTGTTATAAGTATAGTTACTGACGAGAATTCAATAGGATATATCCAGTGCGTTGTTTTTCTAGTATCTTAATCGGAACCCTAGACACAGTGCAACCTTTGATCTAACCCTAACAGTATCCTAACCATCTAGATCTCGGTAGCTGAATTTCACGCGAGCTAGATTATAACAATTTTGGGAACATTTAAGGGATTGAGTTATCAACTCTGGGGTTTTAATTACCTTAATTATATTGTCTAGCTTTTGTCAATAAAAACAGTTTGTCTTTTCTAGGCAACTTTTCTATGAATTCCTGATTTCTAAGAATCTGGCTACTGTATATAGAAGAATAGTTGTATTGATGGCTTGGCGACTCCATTTAAACGTTTTCATCCCAATGTATCATCTAAACTTAACATAGATACTTTTCCGTAGGTGTTTCAAATTTAGACTAGTGATGAACGGTATTGAACTTGTTTTATTTTATCGAGGTTGTCATTTGGTACCTATTCGGATAAGGAATAATTGAAGGACAGGCCTAGCAAGAGTTAACAATACTACTGTAGACGATGTTTATTGTTGTCATTAGACCAGGTAATTAGGCACCGGTAAACAGGAACAATGATGCTGTTGGCTCTCCCCTTAGTAGCCACTTTAGAGGTGATCGGCAATCTCGCGACCCTGGCTAAGGGAAGGAATACTAAACACAACACGTTGATCATTCCAACTGCGAAGGTAAGTCTAAAGAAAGATTAAAATGCAGTGGCGTAGCGAGGTCGGGTGTCACCCGGTGCGTCACTTAATGGTGTCACCCCCCCCCAGAGGCATAGAGACCCTTCCCAGGGACAAACTTTCAAATTTTCGATTTGCATCCCCCGCTCAAACTTTCGATTTACACCCCCCTCGAGTTTTTCTCTATATATTTTGCTATTTTTTGCCTTGGTGTCACCCCCCTAAATGGTGTCACCCGGTGCGGTCCGCACCCCCCGCCCCCCCTCGCTACGCCCCTGTTAAAATGTTTATATTTTTATAAGACCTAGGCAAAGTTTAACGCTTTAAACCCGCCAGTAAAAGAAAACAACATAAAATCTACTTTTGTCGTAGTTGGACAGGAAGAAAGCACAGGTCCCTGCACGCAAGGTGTCTAGCACTTCTGATGCCAAAGTTGGGGGTCGATGTGCCGGGGCTAGGAGCATGAACAAGAGCAGAAACAGGAGGGACAAGTCGGGACGTGAAACAAACAAATGTTGTTGTGGACAATCTGAACTGGAACCAGTCCTACAGCTAACCAGCTCACCCGGGGGCGACAGCTTCTGTCATCCTGACAATTCCTCGCTAGTTCCCCAGCTCTGCGCTGCAGAACTTACTCTCAACAGTCAAAAGGTGACATCAAAAAGTCCTAGTACCAAACCGTCCAGCAATTCTTTTTTGGTCTGTACACGATGTGGACAAGAAAGTGATTGTACTGATAACAATATACAACACCTAGCATTGCGTCATTACAGCCCGCTAGAGCAAAACGATAAAGATGGAGACGTGTGTTTAACAAGATCTATAGATAAACACAACATGGCTTCAGCAGAATCCCAAACCACGCCCACAAGCCACTCAATTTATAACACCCGGATAATACTTGACGAAAACCTGTTTGTTCTTGGTTCAAGAACCTTAATTAACGACACAACTCAGGAGGTATCTGACGTGGAGAATATCGATTTCCTGTCAGAAGTTGTAGAACAAACAACAATCTTACCAGAACCTCCAATACAACCAAAAGAAGTTGAACTAGGAAACTCTCAACTCAATCAACCATCAGGTGGCATTGACCAACTAGGCCTGGGGACTACACTTGAAGAAGTTGGGGGCAAGGAAGACAAAACTAACATTGTAAGTCAGAAAAGTAAAATCAATGTGAACAATTCACATTCGGGAAGTGAGTCGGGGACAGTGTCGCAACAAGATGAAGAAAACATACCTCGCAGCAAACAAGGGTCGGCCCGACCAAGTCTAGTCAACACCAAACAAAGATCATCTGAACAAAGATCTTCACTGCCAAACGCGGTAAATGGCAATCAGATCCCTTCAAGAAGATCATCTGAACAAAGACCTACACAGAATCAAGAAAATAACGAGCCACGGGATGAAAGAATCGACGATCAGTACGCTATAGACGCTCGTCAAGAAGATAAGGAAAGAATGAATACAGCCCGTAGCAGACAAGGATCAGCAAGACTAAGTGACGTCAACATTAATCCCATTCCTTCAAAAAGATCATCTGAACAAAAATCTACACAGCCAAGTGAGGTCAATATCAATCAAATCCCTTCTAAAAGATCATCTGAACAAAGATCTACACAGCCAAGTGGGGTCAATATCAATCAAATCCCTTCAAAAAGATCATCTGAACACAGATCTACACAGCCAAGTGGGGTCAATATCAATCAAATCCCTTCAAAAAGATCATCTGAACACAGATCTACACAGTCAAGTGGGGTCAATATCAATCAAATTCCTTCTAAAAGATCATCTGAACAAAGATCTACACAGCCAAGTGGGGTCAATATCAATCAAATCCCTTCTAAAAGATCATCTGAACAAAGATCTACACAGCCAAGTGGGGTCAATATCAATCAAATCCCTTCTAAAAGATCATCTGAACAAAGATCTACACAGCCAAGTGGGGTCAATATCAATCAAATCCCTTCTAAAAGATCATCTGAACAAAGATCTACACAGCCAAGTGGGGTCAATATCAATCAAATCCCTTCTAAAAGATCATCTGGACAAAGATCTGCACAGTCAAGTGGGGTCAATATCAATCAATTCCCTTCTAAAAGATCATCTGAACAAAGATCTACACAGCCAAGCACGCATTCAATAGTTCAGGCTCCTTTAAGAAAGACATCTGAACAAAGATCCATACATTCAAGCGGGGTCAATATCAGTCAAGCATCAAATAGATCTTTATCCGAACGAAGATCTACACAGCAAGGCGCGCCAAACGGTAATGATGCTCCCTCAAGAAGATCATCGTTTGTAACAAATCATGACAACAGCGAACCTTGGGATGAAAGAATCGATGCTCATTACGATGATGAAAGAAATAATATCCTGCCAAGTCAACGGGGGTCTGTTCAGCAAAGTGCTGTTGAGGACTCTCTGAAATACTCAAAAAGATTATCTTTTGTAGAGGACGCCACAGTAAATCAGGCTCCTTCAAAAAGAGCATCTGAACAAAGATCTACACAGCCAAGTGGGGTCAATATCAATCAAATCCCTTCTAAAAGATCATCTGAGCAAAGATCTACACAGCCAAGTGGGGTCAATATCAATCAAATCCCTTCTAAAAGATCATCTGAACAAAGATCTACGCAGCCAAGTGGGGTCAATATTAATCAAATCCCTTCTAAAAGATCATCTGAACAAAGATCTACACAGCCAAGCGCGGATTCAATAGTTCAGGCTTCTGTAAGAAAGACATCTGAACAAAGATCCATACATTCAAGCGGGGTCAATATCAGTCAAGCATCAAATAGATCTTTATCTGAACGAAGACCTACACAGCAAGGCGCGCCAAACGGTAATGATGTTTCTTCAAGAAGATCATCATTTGTAACAAATCATGACAACAGCGAACCTTGGGATGAAAGAATCGATGCTCATTACGATGATGAAAGAAATAATATCCTGCCAAGTCAACGGGGGTCTGTTCAGCAAAGTGCTGTTGAGGACTCTCTTAAAAACTCAAAAAGATTATCTTTTGTAGAGGACGTCACAGTAAATAAGGTTCCTTCAAAAAAATCCTCTGAACAAAGATCTACACAGCCAAGTGGGGTCACTATCAATCAAATCCCTTCTAAAAGATCTTCTGAACAAAGATTTACGCAGTCAAGCTGGCACATCATTAATCAGGCACCTTCAAAAAGATCATCTGAACAAAAATCTAGACCACCAAGTCTAAACACTATCAATCGGATACCATCAAGAAGATCATCGTTTGTAACATACCATGACAACAGCGAACCTCGGGATGAAGGAATCGATGCTCATTACGATGATGAAAGAAATAATATCCTGCCAAGTCAACGGGGGTCTGTTCAGCAAAATGCTGTCGAGGACTCTCTGATGTACTCAAAAATATTATCTTTTCTAGAGAACGTCACAGTAAATCAGGCTCCTTCAAAAAGAGCGTCTGAGCAAAGATCTACACAGCCAAGTGGGGTCAATATCAATCAAATCACTTCTAAAAGATCTTCTGAACAAAGATTTACGCAGTCAAGCTGGCACATCATTAATCAGGCACCTTCAAAAAGATCATCTGAACAAAAATCTAGACCACCAAGTCTAAACACTATCAATCGGATACCATCAAAAAGATCATCGTTTGTAGCTGATCAGGAAATTGATTACCATCAGGAGGAGATAATCGAAGCTCAATATGACGATTTTGGAATGAATGAAATGAAACCAACTTCAAAAGTGCAACTGGATGCTTATGAAAATGCAGAAGAGGATCACCAAATCGAAAGCCGGTTTGATAACGAGTTTCAGATTCAAACTAACAGGCCTGATACGCAACCGATACGTGAAATAAATCAGAGGGAAGCAAATTCTGATACTCATTTGGATGGCGACCCAAGATACAGACCAAACAGTCAAGTGTACAGAGAAAAGCAAAAAACGCCGTTGTTCGCGTGCGATACAGTGAAGGAAGTTTGTGTGGTCGGGGCCACTAGTAGAAGCTGTGACCCTTGTGAAGCTAAAACAATTTTCACTTTACTGTCACAAGGGATGATAAAATGTGAAAAAAGGCATGAAATCGTCAGAGCTCATCGGGGCACATGTTCTGATGACGAGTCACAGAGCGTCTGTCGGAAAAAGTGTTTGGTCGTCTGCCCGGAACCTTGTAGAATGTCCAGTCACCGCACTCAAAGACCACAAGATTACGAGGATTCGAGGAGTCGGTCTAAATCATCTAAGCATTACGACGATAGATCGGGGAGTCAAGAAAAGAAATCTTGCACGTCAAGTGGCTGCGATAAACGTGGACAGGGGTGTGTTCTAGGCCAGCCTGGGCGGATATGTATCGGTACCTGTAAACGTCAGTGTGTTTGTCCGCCCACTCGAGAGGAACATGAGAACCTCCAGTCTCCATCTAGACTGTACAAGAGTTTTGTAAACATGGAGGGGAGAGAACGATTTCAGACTGAAATGGCGCCCAGTAGAAAAGGATCTGCAAGCCAAGAAAGACCAGCTACCGAGACGTCTGCTACGTGCAGATCAAAAGACAACGAATGCTGCCGCACTGTTATCTTCTGCCGATGCAACGATGGATTCCGCGATCCAGACGCAGGCTGTTATCTCGGGAAAATCAAACACATTCAAAGCTCCGGGTCGAAATCTTGTTATGGCCTTGAAGAAATAGCCTTTCCTAACAGAAACAAAAGTAACAATGTAAGTCAGAAAAGTAAAATCAATGTGAACAATTCACATTCGGGAAGTGAGTCGGGGACAGTGTCGCAACAAGATGAAGAAAACATACCTCGCAGCAAACAAGGGTCGGCCCGACCAAGTCTAGTCAACACCAAACAAAGATCATCTGAACAAAGATCTTCACTGCCAAACGCGGTAAATGGCAATCAGATCCCTTCAAGAAGATCATCTGAACAAAGACCTACACAGAATCAAGAAAATAACGATCCACGGGATGAAAGAATCGACGATCAGCACGCTATAGACGCTCGTCAAGAAGATGAGGAAAGAATGAATACAGCCCGCAGCAGACAAGGATCAGCAAGACTAAGTGACGTCAACATTAATCCCATTCCTTCAAAAAGATCATCTGAACAAAGATCTACACAGCCAAGTGGGGCCAATATCAATCAAATCCCTTCTAAAAGATCATCTGAACAAAGATCTACACAGCCAAGTGGGGTCAATATTAATCAAATCCCTTCTAAAAGATCATCTGAACAAAGATCTACGCAGCCAAGTGAGGTCAATATTAATCAAATCCCTTCTAAAAGATCATCTGAACAAAGATCTACGCAGCCAAGTGTGGTCAATATTAGTCAAATCCCTTCCAAAAGATCTTCTGAACAAAGATCTACACAGCCAAGCACGCATTCAATAGTTCAGGCTCCTTTAAGAAAGACATCTGAACAAAGATCCATACATTCAAGCGGGGTCAATATCAGTCAAGCATCAAATAGATCTTTATCTGAACGAAGACCTACACAGCAAGGCGCGCCAAACGGTAATGATGCTCCCTCAAGAAGATCATCGTTTGTAACAAATCACGACAACAGCGAACCTCGGGATGAAAGAATCGATGCTCATTACGATGATGAAAGAAATAATATCCTGCCAAGTCAACGGGGGTCTGTTCAGCAAAGTGCTGTCAATGACTCTCCGACGTACTCAAAAAGATCATCTTTTGTAGGGAACGTCACAGTAAATCAGGCTCCTTCAAAAAGAGCATCTGAACAAAGATCTACACAGCCAAGTGGGGTCAATATCAATCAAATCCCTTCTAAAAGATCATCTGAACAAAGATCTACACAGCCAAGTGGGGTCAATATCAATCAAATCCCTTCTAAAAGATCATCTGAACAAAGATCTACACGGCCAAGTGGGGTCAATATCAATCAAATCCCTTCTAAAAGATCATCTGAACAAAAATCTAGACCACCAAGTCTAAACACTATCAATCAGATACCATCAAAAAGATCATCGTTTGTAGCGGATCAGGAAATTGATTACCATCAGGAGGAGATAATCGAACATCAATATGACGATTTTGGAGTGAATGAAATGAAACCAACTTCAAAAGTGCAACTGGATGCTTATGAAAATGCAGAAGCTGATCACCAAATCGAAAGCCGGTTTGATAACGAGTTTCAGATTCAAACCAACAGGCCTGATACGCAACCGATACGTGAAATAAATCAGAGGGAAGCAAATTCTGATACTCATTTGGATGGCGACCCAAGATACAGACCAAACAGTCAAGTGTACAGAGAAAAGCAAAAAACGCCGTTGTTCGCGTGCGATACAGTGAAGGAAGTTTGTGTGGTCGGGGCCACTAGTAGAAGCTGTGACCCTTGTGAAGCTAAAACAATTTTCACTTTACTGTCACAAGGGATGATAAAATGTGAAAAAAGGCATGAAATCGTAAAAGCTCATCGGGGCACATGTTCTGATGACGAGTCACAGAGCGTCTGTCGGAAAAAGTGTTTGGTCGTCTGCCCGGAACCTTGTAGAATGTCCAGTCACCGCACTCAAAGACCACAAGATTACGAGGATTCGAGGAGTCGGTCTAAATCAGCTAAGCATTACGACGATAGATCGGGGAGTCAAGAAAAGAAATCTTGCACGTCAAGTGGCTGCGATAAACGTGGACAGGGGTGTGTTCTAGGCCAGCCTGGGCGGATATGTATCGGTACCTTTAAACGTCAGTGTGTTTGTCCGCCCACTCGAGAGGAACATGAGAACCTCCAGTCTCCATCTAGACTGTACAAGAGAAAACAAGAAAACTTAAATGATAAGCATAATATTGATTATGACGAAGATGTGATAGAAAATGTGGTTTATCCTGTAGGTTCAGCCAGAACAGCTGATGATAAGAACCACATTATAAAACCATCCAACTACGACAATAATGACAACGATCCAGTCGGCAAGGAGGTCAATTTCCAGGAACTAAAAGAAAGAGCGCCAAGAAGCCCACCCAGAAACGAGAGTTTTGTAAACATGGAGGGGAGAGAACGATTGCAGACTGAAATGGCCCCCAGTAGAAAAAGAACTGCAAGCCAAGAAAGACCAGCTACCGAGACGTCTGCTACGTGCAGATCAAAAGACAACGAATGCTGCCGCGCTGTTATCTTCTGCCGATGCAACGATGGATTCCACGATCCAGACGCAGGCTGTTATCTCGGGAAAATCAAACACATTCAAAGCTTCGGGTCGAAATCTTGTAATGGCATTGAAGAAAGAGCCTTTCCTAATAGAGCTCAGACCTCTTACGCCGAATCCGATGAATGCGAATATTTCATGACGTTAAATTCAGATTTGACCGGCTCAGGGGCGGAAGAGTTTAGAGATGTCATTGAAGAAAGTTACAAGGATTGTGCTACTGACCTGTCCGCTGATGCCCGTAAAAATTTCAAAGATTGCGTGGATTATTCATCAGCAAAACAATATGCGGCCTCTGGTAGCCAACCTCGTCGGCCTAGCACTAAAGAAGGTACCCAGACATGTTACCTTGCACCACTTTGTCGGGATGTCAGAGACTTCATGTGTGACACTGGACAAGATTTTACAGTACAGCTCAACGATGCTTCAGATGAAGACTGTGAACAGAGAGCTATGGATCTGAAAAGTCGTATATATAGGAAGATCACAGTTGATCCTAGAGAAATTATAGAGTTCAGAAAATTATGTCACGTTCCCTTGGAAGGAGTGGAGAACGCTGACGTTGTAGTCTGTGGCAAATCAGAACCGCGGGAGTACAGTCGCAGGAAAACAGACCCTGAGCTTGAGGAGCGTGTTTACGACACCAATGAAAGGAAAGAAAGTTACAACTCTCCATTTGATGAGCGGGTCAACAATGATATCGAGAATAATGTAGATGATACTGATATATCGAAAGAGACTGAGGCTTCTTCGGATTTTAATAATGAATATAACGAACAACAAGAGGTTGCTCAAATTGATGAGACTAGCAGAATTGGAACGCCAGAGCTTGAACCCCATAAAGATGAAGCAGCGAGTGCCCCAATGACGGGAAGCTCCAGGCCGATGAATCAAGATGAAACCGATGACATCACCGAGATCAGAGATCAAGATGACATGGACTACGATGTTAATGATGACTCGCAAAGCATCAATGACTCGATTGTTCGTGAGGACGATATGTCAGAGCCCGTGGTCACTGAAAGCATCGTCCGCACGGAAACTGTAAGCAATAGAACGTCATCGCAAATTCCTGATATTGAATATGAAAAAGCTAAAATCGCAGAGAAAGTCAAAAGTGTGAGCAGTGTGCAAAAAACAACAACCAATAGTGCAGTACAGAGCCCGAGCCCGTCGAAAGTTACAAGTACAAAAGACAGTTTTACAGAAACCGTGAATAGCAAAGTACAGAGCCAGATCCCATCAAAAGTCACAAGTACAGATAAAGCCACAAGTCTGGAAAATACCAGTTTTACAGAAACTGCAAATAGCACAGTACAAAGCCAGATCCCATCAAAGGTCACAAGCATGGAAAAAGCCACAAGTCAGGAAAGAGCCAGTTTTATAGAAAAAGTCAATAGTGCAGTACAGAGTCCTACTCCGTCAAAGGTCACAAGTATGGAGAAAGTCACAAGTCAGGAAAGAGCCAGTTTTATAGAAAAAGTCAATAGTGCAGTACAGAGTCCTACTCCGTCAAAGGTCACAAGCATGGAAAAAGCCACCAGCCAGGATAAAGCCCTTTTTGCAGAGGAAGCATATAGTGCGGCACGAACCCCTAGCCAGTCAAAACCCAGAACCACGGAAAATAGTGCAGCGCAAACTCCGAGCCCATCAAAGGTCACAAGCATGGAAAAAGCCACAAGTCAGGAAAGAGCCAGTTTTATAGAAAAAGTCAATAGTGCAGTGCAGAGTCCTATTCCGTCAAAGGTCACAAGTATGGAAAAAGCCACAAGTCAGGAAAGAGCCAGTTTTATAGAAAAAGTCAATAGTGCAGTGCAGAGTCCTACTCCGTCAAAGGTCACAAGCATGGAAAAAGCCACCAGCCAGGATAAAGCCCTTTTTGCAGAGGAAGCATATAGTGCGGCACGAACCCCTAGCCAGTCAAAACCCAGAACCACGGAAAACAGTGCAGCGCAAACTCCGAGCCCATCGAAAGCCAGTATGGAAAACGCTAGTAAGATAAATGCTGTAAGCCCCACAAAAGTCCTTAGTGCAAAACAAGTTCGAATGTTATGTCGTGATGAGAACCCAGAACTTTATTACACTGAAATGGGACAAACCTTTTACTCTTTACTTTCAAGGGTCAACCCCCGAAACGTCACTGAAGACGAAAGCGCTGAAAGCTTAGCACATGTTATTGATTTTATGAACGATCTGATTCAATCAGATCTTTGTTTAAAGAAAGAGAATTACGACGAGACCAGCGAAGTAGGGGGTGGGAGTGCTAAATTCAAACTGAACAATCTATCGAGGAGGGTGTCAAACGGTGATATTATCGACACATTCAAGGCACTGATAGAGTCTTACTATAACTCGATTGGGGATATTTGTACAATCGTTCGAGAAAACAATAAGGTGATACGTTTTGATGAAGATGGTTCAACCGAGTTTGATTTTTACGCCCTGTTGGAAAATAAAGGAGTTACAGAGCAACCTCTGCCAGCTAACGTTGTATCGCGGTATGACGTGGCTTGCGACGTAGATGAAGACTTCAGGCAGCTGTTGGATGAAATGGATGTCCAAAGAAAGTCCATTTATGAAGTTGGATCAGGAAACGTGCGTATTGATAGCCGTCGAACTTCCAAAAGAGACTTTGCTTCTTCTGTCTTGAAAGACTTTGAAGAGGAAATTATGCAGCGTGTTTTGACAACCGCATGCCAAACTGAACAGACATACAGTGAAGCTAACGAAGAGACTGAACAAAACACGCAGGATCAAATTTCTGTATCAAGCAAACACGGGTCTTCTATGTCCCGCAACAGGATTTCTCGGACCAACTCTCGCGAGGTCGGGAATAAAAGCAGCACGGACCGCCAGAGGGCGCAGAGTTTGTTGAATGAAGATCTCTATGATCAAGATGGAAGGGAATCACAGAGCAACGTCGCCAAGACCAAGTCAGACTCCGTGACTGGAGATGACGTAGAGTCGCAGTACATTGGCGAAATGGAGAAGTACATGGACGAGGATTCAGCTCCGGATGAAATGGCACAATTAAGTAAGTGCTTGTAGATGTGAAAGGAATAATCTAGAATTTAATTGAACTGTTACCTTTTCTAAAATTGTCAAATAGTTTTCGTATTCTCTGTCCCTCTGTAGCTTTGTAAATGGTGCTTTGTCTATGTTCACCAACACATCTGTAAACATATTTTAAGCTTTGTCAATCTCAGACTACCTTGTTGTGGTATGCTTTTTAAAAGTGTAAACACCTCAAACAGAGAAGATTACTTGATATGCATTGCTGGCACATTTTATACACATATCTCCTGAATATATCAACACTTTATCTCCTGAATATCTCACCCTGTAAACCCCTTATATCTTGAATATCTCACCTTGTAAACACCTTATTTCCTGAATAATTACCATTATCCACTCCCTTATCTCCTGAATATCGCATCTTGAGCTAGTTCCCACAAGCTAATAAAACATGGCGTATTGTTTGTTTCTGTAGAACCATATGAGATTAAACATTCGGGCAAGTGTCCCTTCGGGCATTTGTCGCATTCAGGCAAGTGTCCATCTGGGCATTTGTCGCATTCGGGCAACTGTTTATTGGGGTATTTGTCAAGTGTATATTTGGGCATTCGTCCAATTCGGGCAAGTGTCCATTCGGGAAAATAGCCTTCGGGCAAACGGCATTCGGGCAAGTTACTTTCGGGAAAACGTCCGGCTCCCCTATAAATTATACTACCAAACGGTACGCGTTACGCTTGAATTAAAGGCCTATTTATTTTAAATGTTTCTAGACTACCCGTTATCTAGTTAGATAACAGTGGGTTTCGAAGGTCATCCAAAAATGACATCACGTCTGTGACTTATCACAAAATAACCGGACCCGACATTCCAAAAGACGTTTATCTTTTTAAAACACCGATTTCGGCTGAGCATGTGTCTGACCACACTATCCCTTCATATACTGACGTCACAGGTGACCTTTAAAAAGTTCTATTAATTTTAATCTCACCGACTTTAAAATTTAGCCTTTATTCTTCAAAGCAAATTTTAAAATGCTTTTCTGGCATATCTAGCCCTGGCCACCTATAGCATATTTATATAACGTGAAAACCCGCCATTTTGCTTGGGGTAAACATGGCCTAAAATGATCTGAAGTCATGCGTCCAGTCCGGACGCCATATTGTTGTTAGCAACCGACCACGCCTCCAAGTTAGCGAGTAATCCTACAATATCTAGATCTAGAACCTAGATAGATAGATCCCATGCATTCTCGAATTAGATGATCATTGAAGCTAAAAAAAGATTTATATAAAATAATTAAGGCATGAAATAGATTCTAGATGTAGAATTTACATTAAGTCTAGATCTAGACTTTACGTTAAGTCTAGTGACCTAGATTTAGATCTAGATCTAGATTAAAAACTTTTTCTTCCTTTGACAGCTGATCTGTAGAACTAGAGAAATTTATTGTAAAACTAAATGAAAAAGACAGTTGAAATTGATATAAGTGTTTGAACGTAATAAATACAGCAAACGGGCGTCTTGTTAAAAATATATCCGACAGAAAATTAGCCTTAGAACGCGTTAAACATTGAAATGGGAACACAATCTTCTTCGATAGAAGCCGCCATTTTATTGTACTAAAAAGTAAACACGTAATGTGACGTCACTATTCAGTCAAAATAAAACTATTGTTTTAAACTTTTAAAATTAATGTGGTTAATCTACCAATGAATCAATCAATAAATTAATTAACGTTTTTAAATAAATTTGTGATTTACAGTCTGTCTGAAAAGAAAAATTGTTCTCTACCTATATGCTATTTTACAGGTCTATACATATGGCAGATTCTCACCAGTAGTAAATCAGACAAACAAATAAATATTCAAACATGTAAACAAAGTTGAGTTTTAGTAGTATAGAGATACTTGTTTGAAAAATTTGTTTTAATAAAATAGTTATTGGTCAAAGCGCAACGTGCTTTACTAACGTTGATCGATATTAGTGCCACGCATAGAAATAACCAAAACTAAATATCCGAAACATTTAATATAACACTAGACTACCCGTCATCCTTTGGATAACTGTGGGTTTCGCGGGTCATCCATAAATAACAGCACGTCTGTCACTTATCGTAAAAAAAAAACCAGACCCCACATTTAAAAAGACGTCACACCTCAGACGTTTTTGTCTTTTAAAAAAACACCTGTTTCGGCTGAGCATGGGTCTGACCACACTATCGCTTCACATATTGAGGTCACATACAAGAGATCAACTCTACTTCTCCTGCCCAGTATCCCGCAAACTCAGACATGTTTTTGTCTTTTAAAAACACCTGTTTCGGCTGAGCATGGGTCTGACCACACTATCCCTTCATACGCTGACGTCACAGGTGACCTACTCAGCTCTACTTCACCTGCCCTGTGTCCCACCAAGACTTAGACATGATTTTATCGTTTTAAAACATTGATCTATGCCGAGCATGGGTCTTCATATGCCGAGGACATAGAAACAGGTGAATTCTACTTCACTTGCCCTGTCTCCCGCCGAGTCACGATAGGAATTGAAAAAAATATAATATTGACGTGATGTATCTCGAACGCTTACCACCCGCATGGTAACTATTATACTGTCATCTTTGCTAAGTGGGGACTTACGACTAAGTGCAGAATTAAGTCTATAATATACTGTAAAGTAAGAAACTTCAGTTACGCGAATAGGCCCTATTATTTCAAATTAAATTACATCCCAAATTAGCCTATTCCATACCTAAACAAACAAAGATTTATATTTAATAATTAAGGCCTGAAATAGTTGAATATATAGATTCTAGATCTAGATAGAGCTATATCTATATATATAAAGCAAAGTTGTCGGGTGCCCGATAGGGCACTTCCCGGCGCCGCAGGCGCGTCAAATTTGGCACGAAGGTGCCTAATGGCGATAGAACACGAGGGCCGGTGACGGTTCGGCAAAAAGTCTACGGAGCGGGGGTCAAAACTGACCTCGACTGACCGGCGCCTTATATGGGCTATATTACGAAAAAAAAATACCTCCGACGACCCCCCTTGAAATTTTGTGAGGTGGTAGGAGAACACCTTGGGGTGTCACAAAAAACTCGGCATATCTGGGAAAACTTCGTAAAGGGGTCAAAACTGACCAGTTGTATTTCCCTATATAATCTTTGTATTTTATGGGGAAAACAGAGGGTCATTTCAACGCAGACTTTAGGGTACTTAAGCTCAGTATATCTGGCTAATTTTTTGCATGCTCCTAGGTCAAAGGCTTGACCTTTAGGGAAAACTGTCGGTTACACTCAAAGCCCTCGACGAGGGCTAAAAAGTGACCGCGAGTGAAATTCTCTTTATATGAGCTCTATTACGAAAAAAAAATTCCTCCGACGACCCCCCTTGAAATTTTGTGAGGTAGTAGGAGAACACATTGGGGTGTCACAAAAAACTCGGCATGTCTGGGAAAACTTCGTAAAGGGGTCAAAACTGACCAGTTGTATTTCCCTATATAATCTTTGTATTTTATGGGAAAAACAGAGGGTCATTTCAACGCAGACTTTAGGGTACTTAAGCTCAGTATATCTGGCTAATTTTTTGCATGCTCCTAGGTCAATGGCTTGACCTTTAGGGAAAACTGTCGGTTACACTCAAAGCCCTCGACGAGGGCTAAAAAGTGACCGCGAGTGAAATTCTCTTTATATGAGCTCTATTACGAAAAAAAAATTCCTCCGACGACCCCCCTTGAAATTTTGTGAGGTGGTAGGAGAACACCTTGGGGTGTCACAAAAAACTCGGCATATCTGGGAAAACTTCGTAAAGGGGTCAAAACTGACCAGTTGTATTTCCCTATATAATCTTTGTATTTTATGGGAAAAACAGAGGGTCATTTCAACGCAGACTTTAGGATACTTAAGCTCAGTATATCTGGCTAATTTTTTGCATGCTCCTAGGTCAATGGCTTGACCTTTAGGGAAAACTGTCGGTTACACTCAAAGCCTTCGACGAGGGCTAAAAAGTGACCGCGAGTGAAATTCTCATTATATGAGCTCTATTACGAAAAAAAAATTCCTCCGACGACCCCCCTTGATATTTTGTGAGGTGGTAGAAGAACACCTTGGGGTGTCACAAAAAACTCGCCATGTCCGGGAAAAATCGGGAAATGGGTCAAAACTGACCAGTCGTATTTCCCTATATAATCTTTGTATTTTATGGGGAAAACAGAGGGTCATTTCAAAACGGATTTTATGGCACTTACGCTCTTTACATCTGGCTCAGTTTTGGCATGCTTATAGGTAAATGGCTTGACCTTTAGGGAAATCTGTCGGTTACACTCAAAGCCCTCGACGAGGGCTAAAAAGTGACCGCGAGTGAAATTCTCTTTATATGAGCTCTATTACGAAAAAAAAATACCTCCGACGACCCCCCTTGATATTTTGTGAGGTGGTAGGAGAACGCCTTGGGGTGTCACAAAAAACTCGCCATGTCCGGGAAAAATCGGGAAATGGGTCAAAACTGACCAGTCGTATTTCCCTATATAATCTTTGTATTTTATGGGGAAAACAGAGGGTCATTTCAAAACGGATTTTATGGCACTTACCCTCTTTACATCTGGCTCAGTTTTGGCATGCTTATAGGTAAATGGCTTGACCTTTAGGGAAAACTGTCGGTTACACTCAAAGCCCTCGACGAGGGCTAAAAATTGACCGCGAGTGAATTTCTCATTATATGAGCTCTATTACAAAAAAAAAATTCCTCCGACGACCCCCCTTGATATTTTGTGAGGTGGTAGAAGAACACCTTGGGGTGTCACAAAAAACTCGCCATGTCCGGGAAAAATCGGGAAATGGGTCAAAACTGACCAGTCGTATTTCCCTATATAATCTTTGTATTTTATGGGGAAAACAGAGGGTCATTTCAAAACGGATTTTATGGCACTTACGCTCTTTACATCTGGCTCAGTTTTGGCATGCTTATAGGTAAATGGCTTGACCTTTAGGGAAATCTGTCGGTTACACTCAAAGCCCTCGAC